ATGGATCAATTAATGGAAGAACTAGGCAATCTGTGATTGCACCGCAAAATGTTGGAAACCGCATTAAATTTCGCTATCAAAAAAGTTATTGCAGAAGATTTTGCCGGAAATATGGTTAACAGTTATACGGTCGTCATCACAACAGATGAACGGGAAGTAGATTTCTGTGTCTGACATGATAATAGATATTGGCACTTTATCTTCGACCGCTGGTGACGGACATCATGGCTGACGTCACATGGGCTAGTGTCTTCTCGACTTTAAGATTGTGTCCATATTTGTAGACACTACATAGCTTATTTACTTTGCGGATGTCACCGTGAAACAGAATGCATATATCGGACGTGACACATAAGAAGTTCACAGATTCTACAAATACCAGCGCTTTAAGACAAAGGAGATAACTAAGAAACAAACCCATTCGGTATTCCTAATTGTATTTGACAGATATGCTCGAGAAATAGAGGTTTCAGAAACAGAATGAATCTGTATCCTTTAAGTATTTTATTTTATTTCATTTTAATCAATAAATATACATGTATATTATTCATTACTTATAATGACATTTTCTGTGTTTGTTAGTTGTTAAACGTGTTATAATAATGATTGATCACAACAGCCTCATATCAATTGAGAAAAGAAATGGGCCTTTACGAAGTTAACACTTTCACCCCTATGTAACTTTAGTAGACTCTACCATGCATTGACCTGGATAATTCTATTTTGGTCTACAGTGGTGAAAGGGTTAAATTGTGACTATGTATACTTTACTGTAAACAGAAGCGTCCAAGGTATACAGATCTGAACACTAGCACAGCATCTAGCAAAAACAAGAGAAAACGACGAAAGCATGGGACCATTAGGTTCATCAGCGAGATAGAAGATTACCAAACTAACTAAAGGAAAATATAAAAGCAGGCAGAGCAATTAAGAAATTGTTTAAAAATACACAAAATATGAATTTTACATACAAGGTATAAATAGGACAATTTTCTCCTCCATGAAATGTTTAATAATTTGGGTCGGTTTTGATGTTTGGTTTGGTTTAGTATTGTTTAACGTGCTATCAACAGCTATGGTCAATTAAGGACGGCCTCTCTTGTGTGCAAGATGCATGGGTGTAGTGTATGCGTGTGTGTTTTGGGAGGCTGCGATATGTTCGTGTGTATCTCATTGTGATTGCGCGGAACTGATGCCGACTTTATAGTGCTACTTCACTGAAACATACTGCCGAAGACACCCAGCAGGACACCCCACCCGGTCACATTATAGTGAGAACGGGCGAACCAGTCATACAGACTCTGGTATGTCTCGGCCAGGGGACATAACCCAAAGCCTCCGTCACAGTGGCGAACGCTCAACTAAAGTCCAAAAGTGAGGCATTGTCAAGGTAGAAGAAACATGTTCAGAAAGAAGAGAAAAGATAAGATCCCGAATTTAGTCGCCTCTTTACGATCATGCAATGGGGGCAGCAGGTACAATTATTACTCGATGTAGGTATATATACAAACTCAATATACTTTACCCCAAAAACAATTGTAACGAAAATAATTGATATATTAAATGTTGTCTACTAGGGTTGTAAACTGTCGGTAATATACCTAACCCGAGTTAGCCTTGACACCAGACAAAGACCTTTGGACAGATAATGTCGAAATGTCTAAGTCTGGTGTAAGTTTACTATAATCACACTTTTGGGTCATGTAATCCCTTATGATCACGTGATCTATATTTGTAGGCGGATTACTGAGACACTCTCTTAGTATGTCGGTAAGCAGTGCATGTACGTTGACACGAATGATAGAACTTACGTATTTATTTAAAAAATAACATGACCATCCATGTATTATTTAAACTGTGTCAAAAGATATGTCTACAAGGGCTACTATGTTGTTTTTCTTTTATGATTTATAATCAATCAATCAATCAATCAATCAATCAATCAATCAATCAATCAAGTGATCAGTCGTAGGATTGTTGAATTTTATGATAAACCAGCATCTAGAATGTCAGGTAATTGTTTATTTTAAATTGATAGTCTTAATCATTTTTAAATAATATAAAACAATTAAAGCTGAGATTGTATGCAATATTTGTATGCCTATGAATAAAGGAATGCCATTAATTTGGGAAGCTTCCCTTGAGTGTAGGAATGCAGAAATACTTTTTCAGCGAATGATTAGATAATTCACAACAGATGTCACGTCTATGTCCAATAATTGTCCTCCCCGGTAGAAGTACCACATAAACTTCACTTTTAGTGTCTTAATAGTTAAAAAAACCATAATCGTCCTTTCATCAGGACTTGTATTCAATTAATAACTGATCCATAGCAGTGATTTGCTTTTCGTCAGTTTTAACTGTCTCTTTATACATTGTTAAAGATACGAGAGTAGACGTAGGCTTTTAAAATTGTATGAAAGTATTCAAAATATTTAAAAATCAATACGTCATTTCATATATGTAGTTGTTATTGGATCCTATTTTGGTGTTAAATTTCAAAAATCAATGTATTAGGTCCTTTATCATGATGCATGACAAGGCATACCTTTATGGTAAAATTACGTCAAATTATTTCCACTACAGGTGTGAAGTGTACATCAAGAAAGCTTATCGCTGATGTGAAAGTCTTGGGTAAGTGTGCACTAGCAGATGGCTTATGGTTCGATGGTCGTTAGAAATCTTCTCCTTTTATCCAGAGAGAGAGAGAAATACATTACAATCACACAATAACAGACTGTATATCACATAATTTGTCAAAAATATAGGTATTTATGGCAAACTGTTCACATGAAAAGAAAAGAAAAAGTATATCTACAATCCAGTCGTTAAATGTCACCGAATAAAATACCATTGCGTAACTTATATTAACACTGCTACAGTCTACACAGGAAGTCTGTTTTTACAGTGCATACGTACTGTACTACGGGGATACTGTAAGAAGGAAGCGTTACGTGACTATGAGCTTTACTGACCAAAATAACCACACATCGTCATGTCAAACTCAATGCTATAGCTAGGGATTAAAGCTTATATCATAGACCTAAATTAACGGGACCTTTACTTTAGGTCTCTGCTTATATACACTAACACGACACTACAAATACCCCATATATATTTAAACATGGTCTGACGTCAAACAGATATGAAATGGTGTCTCGCTGACATATTCTAATACACAAGTCTCTGATATCTGATCCCAGTAACCCCTACCACTGGTAATAATACTTTACATGGGAGTGGTCGGTATTCAGAATAGTAACGACATGCTAAATATATTACTTACATGTTACTTCAATACTTCGTCTTTTCAAAGACACAAATTCAAAAGGTAGAGGGACTTCCACAAAGGTTCATCTCATTTCACAGAGATTGATTCAGAGGGAAGACTTAAAATAAGAGCAATTAAATGCATCGCTGCTTCAGTATATAAGAATAAAAGTGGAACTTAATGAAACCGAGAGGTACCAAAGTAAACAAAAGACACCATGAACCATACCAAATGTTGTAGGCAAAGAATAGTTGTTCGAAAGAACCCTCTTGCAACGAACTTGGTACCCGTCATGATGTCTTGGTATCTGCTGACAAATCTGGGGTAATTATCGGTCACTGAAATTCTTAATATGAACATTATATATACAAACATTGTTTCATTCTAGTTTGTATGTCTCTGTCTGCAGTAGTAGTAGTAGTAGTAGTAGTAGTAGACCAGTTATGGTATGTGTTTTAGAATAAGGCGCCATTGTATGAATTAACAGAGTAAAACATAATACCCTAAACAATAGTACATTACAGGAAATAGCCATCTCTGCACGCAAGGTAACGAGTTCGTGTAGAAGTAATCGCATCGTTCGTGTCATTGCTCAAGTAAACATAAATATTTGAAAACAATCCACCCGGATAACTATGTCGGTGGTATATGTAAAGGAGAATGGACTGGTCGCTTGCTAGGTTGTTGTACATACTTTAGCGCTAATTGAAGTTCCTTATGTAGTGTTCTCTAGTATTTTGAGTGCGCTAATTCTTCAATGAGCTAATCTGTTGAAACTCGATAATAATACGCTATAATTTGAGCACGCTAAAATGAGTACTTCTATAGTAATTAACACGTCTTACGCAATCAGATTAATTACTTGGGAGATTATTTTATATAAATATATGCTGCAAACTTGTTATTTTATTTCCTTATTTTCTTTTGTATCTCATATAATATGAACTAATGTGGAATACCTGCTATTTTCATCAAATTCAGGACATCTTGAATCTGTTTGTAAGGGCGGGGAGATAAACTCGGCATCGTTCAAATGGTCACGGACAATACCTGTAATCTGGTCTCATGAATCGGTAACTATGTAAACCATTATGTTTTAGTGTACACTATGATACAGGACTTAGGACAATGTAACCAGATAAATGAACGCGGACCCCCTTCTCCACACGTAGCTCTGAAACCATTCATGTTTATTGGGATTAGCCTGGACACACTGTGAAGCACAGACGACATAATAGACAATATAAGGTTAAGATCTTTATCATACCAGTGGTGTATAAAAGTACATGCTCACCGTAGTAGAACGCTGAAATAGGTAATCCGCGACACACTTAGAAGTACGCAGTCACAGAAATTACACCACATGTAGTTTTGTGTTCCATAAACAAATTTACCATTTTCCATGGCTAAACATTACACAAATATAGAAAAAAAACTGCCTGTAAGATTTTCTGGTCATATTTTGTAATTGTAATATGCATCTACATTAATAAAGATGTTAAGAAATTACAGCTGCATCAAATTGTTCAAAAGATATCTTCAACTGAAATTTTATGATTTGATAACATAAAAAAAATCTATATTGTATCGTTGAACATTCCCAATAAATTACTGTAGAATATTCATGAGTTACATAACAAATACATGTATAAACGTGAGGTGTTTGATCATCACACCGAATAGGTATCGCTTGTAAAATCTAGAGGTCATTGTAACCAGTAATCGTGTCTAGGTATAAAATGGGACGATTCCTGGGGTACACACGTACGCAATCATTTGAAAACGCGTGTCTACCTAGAGTTAAAGCTGGCATTGTATAAGTACATGTATATAGACGTGTTAATAGTGAACATTGGTAGGTAAAATACTATTTCACAGTGACGGATGCATTAAACTCGGATTGAACGCTACCCGGAAAATATAATATTATTCCAACAATACCGGTGTGCCCACATTAGGTATTATACACAATACACGCCCGGCGTGTAGCAGTATTGGGCTGAACAGCTGAACAAGATACACGCAAGGAACTGTTTGTCACGGACAGCAGGAGGAACGCCTTACAGGGGATAATTACTGTTCTCCAACACGTGGGGATGTGATTATCCTGACTACCCGTCTGTGAACTTTGCTTCTGCTTACTGTTTAGATAACAGGGATATCTAGAAAGTATAAAACATCTCAAGGATGGAGAAGACACAACAATTGAACCGGAACAGATATTGGTATATCATCTCCCATCACCCTTACCACTGACAGAAATGAATTGAAACGTTTCATGCTTAACAACATACAAATGCAGATTGTAAAGACAAAATGTGTTTATACCCAACTGTCGTGGAACTTGTGAATATCGAAGAGGATATACAGGTGTCAGTGTGAATGAACATAGACAGTGTAGAACCATTTGAAGAAGGCCTGCAACAGAAGGAGATATTGTTATACTCACAGAGCGAAAGCCAGACCTTAAATTTATACAAAATGGGATTTAAGGAGAAATTAAAATCCGAGTTCTCGATCTCTAATATAATGATGACACACCCGGAACCACACCTTTTTGTGACGATGCAGGTTGGTCTATTATCAATTTTAGGACTTTTAAATGTTTAAATTAAGTCTATGTTATCATGTCTATTGAAGCCACTTTTTGGAAATTACACAATCTTGAAATCACTTAACCACTTTAGCTGACGCGTCCCAGGAAAGGTCAGGACACATTGAAATACACAAATTAATTTTAATATTTTTATATTCTGAAAATATTCTCTTTGAAACACCACCTTCTTTGTAAGTTACATTCGAAGAGGCAGCATGCATATTTTAACAAGTCATACCTACAAGACCTATTCATTCCTTACATTACGTATTTCTCTCAGACGACTCGGAGAAGGTAATTACTTGTGGTATGACTTTGATCCTCTGATGGATATAGATTACGTAATCGCCTAAAAGCTTGTCTACACGACAAGTGCAAAAGACAGTGCATAGTAATGTCTAAACCTTAAAAGATCGATATTGATTCAAATGATCTTACCGTTCTAATTATATTTCGACAAAATACCAATTAAAAATCATGATATTGGTTTTTAAAATACTTTTGTTACATGTATATACACTTTATGAAGAGTCATTGGTGTCAATGATTTTGATACGTACACTTATATACACTCAATAATGATATATACACCAACCGGTACCGGTGCCAACAAAATTATATGGATTACGAACTATTCCATCCGCGTATACTTATACGTACATGTTTAACATGCTATCTGAAGCAAAAAATCTTTTATTCAATTTCTTTTTTCAGATAATCTCAATATTTAATCGTACATTTGTATGCAAATATAATATAATTAGTTCCATTAGATGTTAACTAAAACGCGCACTATTGTTGACAAAAAAAATCACTGCTCTAGACTTCTTTGGCTTCTTGGTAATATTTAAGCTTGATGTAAATCTACAGACAACGACGTGTTGAAATAAGAGGCAACTTCTATTCGCTTTTCTCCTTTTTTTCTCGTGCTAGTATAACACATATATGGCTAACATAGGAAAAGCATCATTAACTTTAACAGCTGTTTTAACGATCGTTAAGTGGATGATAAACATAATCACTTAGCAAACAACGAGTCGAATTGAACATGTATTCATTTATCTTTTTTGAAATTATTCCAGAATAAGTCGATAAGTTGATGAAATAGTGACACTATCATTGTACCTAAGTATGAATACCTGTACCCACAGACAATACACATAACTAAGTTCGTGCTGTGTTGTTGAGCTGATGAGATGAACATCTCACCTTGTGTATTGAATCACAATGTAATATACAGATAGACCCGTCCATATTTAATAACGAATTCACGATGTGGTCCAACCATTTTGATCGCGTTAAACCAATATACGTTTTTCGGAAATAACTAACTCTATTTTTGCGTGTTATTGTAAAATAACATACCTGTATTTGTTATATTGAATACGTATATCATTCATCGAGTGATTACAAGCATTGGTTATTAATAAAATCAAAAACTGCTAATGCTATGTCCAAACAGCAAATTTCATACCAAATTTATGAACCCGCATAACTCGAGTACTCGGATAATTCGAAGTTTTTTAACGACCCCGTCGACTTCGAGATAACGAGATTCGACTGAAATTAGTACATATATAATGTCAAACCTTTTTGCTTTGTTTGGTAAGCAATTATGGTAGATCACGGTACATGTAGAATATAGATACTTGCTGTAGATAAGAGCACGTTTAAAGTAACCCTGTAGACAATGATTTAGATACACAATGTACCGTGTTTGTTGATCATAAGGCCCACTGACAGATTGTATGGTCACTTTAAGATCAACTGAGTAATAAATCATATTTAAATATCCAAATTAAACATAGGTATCGAAATATGTAATTAGAATGCACTGTTACAGAAGAAATTTAGCTTTGACTGTTAAAAGGCATTTAGGCTGATACCCCCATATAAATGGTTTACCGACATGATGACATTTCAGTCAGATTTTAACCAAACTTAATGCTACGAAATTACACATCATATAAACAATTAATGATATATACCTGGGCCATGCGGAAATGAATGTCTTTTCTACTTAGCTATTGATAGGCATATCTTCCTTAAATATACATACATGAAAAAAGGAATTCTTTAGTACTCATCCTATACTTGAATAGCTAGGTTATATATCCTAGCTAGTACCTATTATTAGTGATTGGTTATAATCTTTATTAGTAGACAATAAAATTGTGACAGTTTATTTAATTACCTATGCACAATTGTTTTGTGAGATTTGCTTGATAAATGTTTCGCTTTTTTGGTATCATGTCGCACTGGTGCCATCATTTCCTTTTGTCTTTTGAACTCAAATGAAACAGAAACAGCAATTCAAATCTATCGGAAGTTGCTATTATCTATTCCGCGTGTTCTAAGACAAAACAATATTTTCATTAAGTAAAAACATGCATTGTACAATATCTGTTAATACTCAGTCACGAAGGGTTACTACTAGACTAAGATTGTCACAATATTCTTTCTATTTTACAAAGCCGCACTTAGAAGTGCTCCACTCCAAAGGTCTATATGTAAGTGTGCATTTTGATCGACATTTGAATACCTTGTCAACAAAGTTCTGCTAATTCTTTAATCACATCTTCTATCGTTGTCCAGAAAAATGGGAAACTACGCCATCCTTCCCGAATTCGTGTCTAGTTCTTTTGGTAGTTTGATTGATGTATGAGGTGCTCATTAAACTGATACATTAGTTTTTTTCTGTATCAGATTAAAAATCGATGTTTGCTCTGAAACTCATGCAATTTCTCAAATAACTGAAGCCAACTTTATTTTCATTGAAAGTTTCAGTGTGTATAGAAGACAGTTAACATATTGAATAATAGATATAAAATATCTTATCCAGCTTTCAGAATCTACCACTATTCCACTGCGTCTAATGTCATTGAGATCAAGATCCCTTTTCTGCTTTTTCCTTCTGGAACATTCAAGGGTCTTCATGTCAATCTTTTCTTCATCCATATTTTGTACTAGTTTGAGCGATTTTGAGTTCGAATTACGGGTTAAATAACAGTCTGGCAACGTTGTTGCAAAATATGAAAACAATCGCTGAGTGGGCCAAAAATGGACCCCACCTTTCAAATGTTGTCCTTTTAGTTGCAGTTGTGGTATGCTGTTTTCAATTTTACCTGTAAACTGTAAAAGAAGTAAATACATAAATCAACAAGTCAATGAACTCTACTGTTTAACTATACACTGCCATAACAATGAAAACAATCTCTGTATTGTTAATATTAATTATGTCAATAGTCTATTCAATTGAAGTTATTCAAAAAGGAGAGAAATCATTTATTTGATTACGTATCTTCTACAAAATGTGGACCACCATGTACTCGATAAAAACAATTAAAACCTCTACTTATGCTATTTTAGCATAACAAACAACATATTTCAACATATATCCGACTAGCCTTGTCTTGTGGGAGAGTTATTTTTATCAGGTGTTACCCAGCGTCATTGAGAGTAAACTATTCATGTCTGTCTTGTTTATGACCCGTAGAGTATTGTCATTTTATAGGATATAAACTGAAAGTAAAAACGTGATGAAAGCATAAAAAGTTTTATTTCTGCAACAGGCGACAAGAATTTACAGTGTATTAACATATACATAACACATTAAATTATATTTTCTTAGTAACTCTGTACTTTATATAACATGTTATACTGTGTAGAAATTGCAAACTCATCGTCCTGTCGCGATCGCTAACCCTGAGAATGTCTATATTTAAACGACAATGTTCCAAGTTGGCGACCGTAGATGTAATTATAGCATGTATAACATACCTATGGTAACATTGTAAGTCTATAGCAAACGATTGTCGCCTTCCTGACCTCTCCCACAGTGTCTATTTCAAAGCCACGTAACACAACAAATGTGATAACTTTGATAAGGCAACAATATCCTTTATATTTTTTTCAGATAAACCTAGCATTTTTCTCATTGTTAAAGATTTCTGTCATTCAATAACTGTAACACGGGGGTTAAACATGGGTCAACAAATTATCACATACATTTTTCTATCTTTTATTTTAATGTAGAATCACGAAACGATTACATTAACACATATACGTACATGTTCACTGTCACACATTCATTTGCATATCTATTAACTCTATTCCCAGGACACTCACGCATGCAACAAAAAATGACCCTACTCATATTTAAGGATGTATATTCACTTATGGTTACCACAGTGACCTTTATACATACTCCTCTACGAGATGTAATTAAACATATCTGACCAATGAAGTGTCTACCATTGCTTTCTATATTAAGAAAATAATTGTTGTGATGTCTCCCCAATTTCTGTTGTTGTCTTTTATTTTTATTTTTCTGTCTCCTAAGCTCTTTTTTATTGTTTTGGTATCTCCTGTGTTTCTATTGTTGTCGTTCCTTTTGTTTTGACGTCCCCTCATACGCGCCTGTCTTCTCCAGACTGAGATAGGCAGGAAACCAATACTCATCATAGATGGAAGGGTCTTGAGGTTTTGACATCTCCTCGGATGCATTCGCTGCCTTTCCTTTTGTTGGATGTTCCATTTGTTGTCTTCTTTCCAACTATGAGTTTTAGTTTTGTCATTGGTCTTTTTTGTTTCGTATCATTTCATTAGTGTGTATTTGGAGAATATCGTATAAAATGTTACCCTACAAATGTTTATAAAATTAAAGTACAGTAAGATTTAATTGACCAGCATAATATTAACCTACACGAATATTTCCTATTTTCTAGTGTGGTCCAGTGCATCTGTATCCGATTTGGTCAATGCTTTGGTCAGCGTATCATCTGGCGTGGATTATACTGGACATGTACTTCGCCGCTACGGATGAGCAAGACGATGGTCACTACTTTAAATTTTTGACCAACTGGGGCTACCTGTTCCTGGTCAGTTACCAGTGGCTGGATACTGCGGCTTCCGTCTACATTCATCTCCGTCGTAAGGAGCTCATCAAAGGTCAGTGGACAGTAACATACGTAAATTCACACGATTATTGGCTTTGGTATATCCTGCTTAATGAGTCCCTAAGTTTCTGACATTTTAAATGAGATGCGTAGGCATTCGTATAAAACAAATATATGTGACCAGTGAATCAAAACACAACGTCATCAATGATATCGTATGAAAGTTACCTTGCTTGGTCTAATATTTGTAAGCTGTAGTAGTCGTAAAGATGTTTTTTGTTCAATTTAAATATATTTCTTGCCCGCCATTAGAGTCGACTTCCATCAGAATTTGAATATGGTTGAATGGGTGTTGGGTGCGGGTAGGGGGTGGGGTGGGGTTGGGGGAACTGTATGTTATACACAGCTTACATAACTGTCAATAAAGAAAGATAAACTTCAATAATGGTTTTGTCGAACAAACTCATCAACTGTTTGCAGTATAAGATTAACGTAAGCAAAAATAAGCTTAGAAACAGTGGACCATTTTGTCGGATATCACAGTGTGTTGATAAAGCAGAGTTAAAGACAGGTAATCTGTCTTTTTAGACTCTGAAATCATGTCGGTTTTCATTGAGTATGTCCATAAACATATAAGTGACGGTAAAGTTAGATTTTATCGAAAACTTCCCTCATGGCTATATGTAGTATGATGGAAATCAGTATCAGACATAACGGTAGATGTATCTTTCATTTGAAATCCATACTAAAATTTCTTGAAAATCAAAATACTTATTGCAGACATGAACACTATTTAGACGCCAAACATTGTCCCTGGCAGGTGCAGAAATGTTGTGACACACATCGTGCTGAATAATAGATATATGGATTAACACATTAACAGCAGTAACAGCGGGCGTTTGACTTTTATGTTTTGCAACTTCAGCACATTTATCATCAGTAGATCTATTACTCTACATGAATATTTAATCTACCGATACATTTACTCGTTCACTGGGTTAGTGTACCTGTACGAGTTTATCTGGTGCAGCAGGTACACAAAGTGGAATAACAAATATGTTGATCAAGGTCATTGTATGTACAATTCTTTAATGACGTTAGCAACAGGGAATATTTGTGCCATCTGCATAGAATCAAAACCTCTGTAAAACATTTCAATGCAAAGAATATAATAGATGCTAGTAAACAGTGATGACAATGATGACATTTTAGTTTCGAAAATATAAGGTATGAATATTTTAGTTTTTTGGCTAGATCTGTTCGCATTGATATTGTAAGGTAAGAAATGTGACTTCACAAGAAATATTTGCTTTTAGATAGTAAGAAATTAGTGCTGCTTTACAAGAACTGATCTCTAAAGGTTGTTAGGTATGCGGTGTTACTTGGTTAGAATTGTCGGGTAGTAAGGTAGCTTTACAAGAAATATTAGCTGTAAATGTAAGATATGTAGAGTTACTAAGCATGAAAGGTTCTCTGTGACATTGAAAGGTTGATAGTGTTACTTTGAAATGTTCTTTGTGTGATTTTATGGTAGCTAGGGCTGTTTTATCGCTGTAAATGTAGGGTATGTAGTGTTACTTGACTAGAAATATTCTCTGTGATGTTGTCAGGTATGTTATTGTGCTTGGAAATGATTCCTGTTGAATTGTAACGTATTCTTATTCTTCTGGACTATAAATGCTCTCTGGATTAGACAGTTAGGGTTGCTTGCCCAGAAATGTTGGCTGTAACACTGTTAAGCCCCTAATTACAGAATCAAGAAGACACCAACATCGAATAAGCCCATGTGTTGTTATTGAAACACTTTAGTAGACACGTGGCGACACTCGCCAAGTTTCCTTAACCTAATCATGGCAATTAATGATCAATACTCTCGGGTATAGCTAAGCCAATCCGTCAAAGCAATACATATTTATCGATTGTTTAAAAAAATTATCAATTTATTAGAAAGTGTAGCCACAAGTTTAAACTGTTAACATGTGTTTAAGTTATCTCCTTTATATATTCGACTTTCAAAATGTCATGGCTGTTATGAATACATGTATTCCTATTAACCGTTTAAAAATCTACATCAATTGTTTAAGCAAAACGAAATGTAAGCGTAAGTTAGCCCATGTTTTCCTTAAGACACATCACACCTATTTTTGATATCAGAATGGAAGTTTGATAAACACGTTTGAAAGGCTTTTATAATAGGAAAGTGTTTATGCTTATGTTTAAAGCTGAATTGTATCACATTACAGGCGGCCAAGACTCCATGCCATGGTATTTGAAGGTCATCTGGGTTCTATATAACATCGCCAACTCTCTTGCCCTCATTATCGTCCTTTTGTACTGGATGCTGATTGGTTCATGTAAGTATGTTGGCTTATATTCTTTCACCAGGACGGACACGGGTTCGACTCCCTTGTGGAAAGGGGTAGATCCACCTGTCCGTCCTCAAGTATCTTCTCTACGATCTCCGGTTAACTATCATATGGACAACCCATGCGCGCTTCCTTCTGGGGAAACAAAAATGATTAATTTGAATTCATATGCTTGTTTCATAATTGTTGTATAAATAAAAGTGTTGTATTTATGTTGGCATAATTACATTATATTTTCTTTTAATAAAATATCGTATATAATTTCCGATTTGTATTTTACTAAACTCCTCGCGGTCCTCAAGCGGATGTGACATGACTTCTGAAGCAGCTTGCTTATAATATGTATTAAATGTTTAGTCTACCTGAAATCTAGTTTGTAGTTGTATTCAAATGGTGTGCTTTAACTACATAATTTGTTCATTATACAGTAGTTTAAAAACAATGCTCTCGATCAGATTATAAAGATGATGTTGTTGATTTCAGCTTTACATCCTAAAAGCATCAGTAAGCATGCCTTGAATGGCATGTGTGTTCTTTTCAACATTTGCTTTACTGCCACGCCCATCCGAGTATGGCACTTCTATCAGCCTGTCCTGGTCTGTTTCGTCTACGCCATCTTTTCTATCATCTACCAACAAGCAGGCGGAGGTCTCATATATGACATGTTAGATTGGGATAAACCTGGAGCCACAATTGGTCTTGTACTTCCACTCCTGGTTGTGGGGATGCCACTAGCGCACTTGTGCTTTTTTGGGATTTATAAGGCAAGGACAGACATTGCCAAACAGTGTTGTACAGGTATCGTATCTACAGTTAAACCTGTGGAAGAGGACGTAGAGTCTACCAAGGAGGAGGTGACAGACTGTTCCAAGGAGGAGGTGACAGACTGTTCCAAGAAGGACGTGCCGACATTATTGACGGTCGACGATCTCACCAAAGACCACCAGACCTTTAGCCTGCGGCTTACACCGGGAACAACTCAGAGGTCAATAAATGTGTCGATGACACCATCGCCAACACTTGGCTTTGTTAACGCTGGGTCAGAACTTGACCCATAGACACACCAATGTATATAACCTGAAAATGTCGCTTTTATGTTAAATTTCATTTATATTTTCGTTGAAATAAAAATAAAAAATGGGTAAATATTAACTTGTCTTCAATTATCATTTTATAGAAAATTTGTATACAAAGTCCATTTCTATATATCTGCCTCTGAGTCTGGTCCGGGTCTTCATTTTCGAATTCTATAAGAATTCACCTACACATTGTATACTGTATGGCGTTCCAGTAGATATTTTTCGGAATGTTAAGTAATAGACCAATGTTCAGGATGAATCAAACCTAGGGTTAAATTGTTCTTTGTGTATCAGTCATATGTATCAATTCCTTTGAAACATGTTCTTATCTAGGCCGCTAGGGTGAACATTAAGGCCAGGTGACCCTGTCATAGAATGATATGTATACAATCACCAACATTAAAACACGGACTTAATCAACCATGAACGTGTGGACGGAAAATTTACTTTGGTGTTATAGAACAATGTATAAGGTTAAAATTATAATACATGATACAAAAATTATTGTAATGAGAATATGTGTGTTCAATACATTACTCCGATAGTTCCACGTTTACGTTTTTCACTCTCTTTTGCCAAATCTTACTCAAAAAGGATTTTTCTTTTAATGTTTCATTGAAGTTTAACCTTAAGCGCCTGTCACATCTAGCCGATTTGGGTCGCCAGAGCTAAATCGGAGTACAAATTTGGCGATTTTCCGGGATCGGTATTAATACGGCAGCGAAACGGTATCACATCGCTAAGAACGGTAGTACATCGTCAGGACATCAGCGAAAAAAATAGCAACGCCGGACAGGTGACGGTAGAATGTTTTGAATATGCTCCGTAGCGCTGCCGGAGCGAGCAACGGGACTACAACGGCAGTACATCGGCAATACTCCGGTATGGATTCGTTGAGCACCGGAAGTGCCCCGCAATGGATCGTCGGCTCTCCGGTCGCCTCAATGTGTACAGTACTGGTACCGATGTGATACCGTACTACCGAACACCACCAAAGTAGTACTGATGCGCCGCCGATGTACCAACGATGTAATACCGTAACTCTACGTTCAATTATTTAGTTTCATAGTCAAGATTCGAAAAAAGTAACCTCCTACAAAACGAATATATTTCTAATGCCGAAGAGATTATATCAGTAATTACATCCTGTTCTACGTCTAAAGGTGATATGACAGAAGGATACAGTATGCTTCGTGCTCTTTTTGTCATAGCAATTCTATTTGTGGAGTTTTATTGCCGAACATTTTTATTTTACTTGGTCATTTGCATTTCCATCCAGTGTAACTAGATAACACGAAACACTCAAAACGAAAAATTAAGTTGTTAAACTTAATAAAATCCTTCGAACCAAATTAATGCAATACAAATTATCATGAAAATTACTTTTCTATATTTAACAAATTCAATTATGCAAAAAACATATGTATTCTTAGTCTGCTAATAGCTTATCATCATGTCGTGTAAACATTTTAAATGATCAAAAGAATAATGGGGAATAGACCGATGATAATGTATTTTCTAATGCCTTCCATTGAGATATTTGAAATTCCAAGAACCTGGTGTCGCATAGTTTAAATTGCATACTTATCATGATAATTGAACGCAGTGGAGTGGACGGAACAGATTTTGCCGAATGAAAATAAGAAGTTACCATGATAAAAAACACCCTAGCAAAGCTTTTTAAATTTTACATCAACAAGACACAGTATTGCAAGAAATCCAGAGTCTGACCAGAAAAAGTACCTTATCATAATTGTATTTAAAGACTTTTAACGAAAGTTCATCCCACTATACGTAAGTATAACAACTATGGAAAATGAAGTAACAATGATAATGATAATATACAATATCAGATAAAGCGCTCTATCTAGCTAACATAAGCCACCCTAAAGCGCTTTGGAGCGAAGTGAAACAGTAATGAAATTATACTCCGGAAAAACACTGGTATCAAAATGAACAAAGGGCCACCAGTCTTAAATTTGTTTTGCACATAACATTCCGCCATCGAAAGAGGTGCTCGCATACATGATATGATAACAGAATATTTGGGATACGCCCTGGAAAAAGTGACAACTGATGAACAAAGGGACATAATTCTATATATATAGTGGGACACGAATCCCCTTTTCAGTACGCGTTATTCAGTCAACCCAAGAGGTACTCGCATAAATAATTGAGTAATTATAGTTCACGAGGCATTTAATATACTTTTGCAATACGGACATAGAGCACACCTGTAGTATCGGTGGGGGCTAAAATTACGAGAGAAAAACAATCTTAAATACCAAATCAAATTTTAGAAACAAGGTGATAACAAACAAGTTCAAAAACTAATATCAAATCTGATATAAAATTACAATAAAAGGAACAGCAAGACAAGTCATCATTGATAAACAAAACATGGCGGAAGGTAAACTCCATGCACCCTTTTAACAACTTATATGATGACCCACGTAAGCCCAGGACTTGCTGTCATTCACCAACAGTATGAGACACAGTGGATATGATATGTCTTTGATCACAACCGACACTAAATTCTTTTGTTATAATTCAATTCATGACGCCGTAATATTTCTTCTGCATTGTTGATTAGGTATTCATATCTTTATTCTATTCGGAGTCAACAGTTAATAATGGTGCATAATGTGTGTATATTATACAGTCTGGTATGCACTAAAGTGACTTTAAAAGACGTACCTCAGTTGATATATTATCTACATTTTGCGATATGGCTTGCTTCCATACAATAACATACCACAAAACCAGACAGGCGTGTGTTTATATACTCTAATACATAAATCAAGTGTTCATTTCATTCATCTTGCACCAATTGACAAGCAACCAGAGAAAAATACTTTGTATACGTTTATTGCATATTTAAACTTCACAGTATATATGTTCTAACGCCTTTTATGGTTTATTTATATGAATATGTTTATATCAAACATTATATTTGTGTCGCATGCAAGCACAAACTTTCACATTTACATATTTTTACTGACATATTGTTCCCTATATTATACGATTGTAATACTTATATAGGGAATTTGAAAAGTTTTTTTCTAAACAAATGAAATTTACTTAAAGGTTATTTTATCATCCCCTCCCCCTTAATGCACTTTTGTTACTTTAACTTTTCAAAAACTTTTAAACAGATAGTCACAAATTTACAGTGTCATATTGATACATTGTACAACGTCCCGTTGCTTTCTGTAAAACAAGGAAACAAAATTGAAGAAAATTGACATATTGGCATAAAATCTTATTCTTAAGTGTGTCATTAACAGTATTTTGGATGAGCAGTAATTCTGATATCAATAAACACTTTAATATCAATACTGTATCATCAATTTTGTTTTTAAAGTGTATCTTCAATCTTTGTATATGAATTTGATGAAATTGGTGCATTATTTTCGGTTGATGGTCAGAATATTACATATCGAAATACCATTCCCAGGTTCATTTTTCTTCACAGGTTATTATATAAAACGTGGCAAAAAGTTATGATTTTAACACTTTTAGGTTAACGGTAACCGTCGTCATTCCAAGAAATAACAATACAATCAAACAAACAAACACAAATATTAGATACCCATTGATAAATAGTACATTCTTTTGAAGTAAGTTTAAAAAATGTACACAAATGAAAAATAATTGATAACTGATTCAATTACATTTAATTCAATATGACCACGCGTGATAACTAACCGCAGCATTGGACATCACGTTAGGTGTTTCAGTTAGTTCTATACCTACATATAAATAAGGTTTATTCTTTGGAAATTGCTTGTACTGAAAACGGAAATATGACTTGAAACTAAATATTATCAGAATTTACAGCAGATGGTGTAAATATTTAAAAATACTTTAAGTTTAAACTTTGAGTTTCGTCAGAAGGTCTATGACTCCAAACGTCTTTTGTTGTATTTAAAATATATCGTAAAAATGACTTAATTTTGTACTTTCTAAGTTCGTTTATTATAAACGATACTGTTTTAAAAGTAGTTATAGTTCAATACTTACAAACCCAAATCCAGTCAAACTCATCAAAATTGTTCATGCCTCACTTAAAAACAAATCTGAATAAACTACAATGTCATATATCTTTTTAAAAGAACCCCCCCCCCCAAAAATACAAAGTCATCTATTGATGGATATTGCTACAGAAAATTTTACAAATATATATTAGTATATTTTATTTGAGAATGAAAATACGTCATACTGACGGGAATGTCATTCACATAATATATACGTAAGATAAATCTTTATAACTTATAATATGTGCATTAAACATTACTCCATATTTCTAACGTATTAGAACGATCTATATGAATTTTTGGTGATCAAAGTTATCTATATTACTGTAAACTCTAAAATATTAAAAAAATAAATAAAAAAAATCACTCAAAATATAAGTTATATACAGCTTCATATATATTATATTATATTATATTATATGCCATTATATATTACTATTTAAGCTGCTAGCCAGCAAGTGATGACAGCGGTTCTACCATACAATTATTTCCGAGGTTCTACTCTGGCAGTGTCGTTGAATATTGTTGAATCGCTCACTTTTTTCGGTCTGAAAATATAAAGAAAAGGCTTTGCACATAGATTTTTTGATTATGAATTTCCTATTCTCAAATTCGTTTTCATTAACATTTGAATGGCGTTTAAACGTGAGTTTGAAATGAAGTTTCACTTGATATAAAGTGTAATTGAAACATATAGTATACTGACTTGCGGACTTTTATCCTCCACACGACAAGACAGATGACCACACCTGCTGCCAAGACACCTGCCACGACGCCAATCACCCAAAGGTAGTCTTTATCTGGTACCACAGGTTTACACACTGTTCAAAGTATGAGTAATTACAAAACTAAAGTTCTATGTTCGCCTGGTGTTAATTTCGCCATTCACAAGTAATTTCTATGTATAATGTATGTTCTGTACTCTTATGTCATGATAAATTCGCCCTCATTCAGGAGGGCGAAAATCCTGAAAGTTTAACTGCGGCGAAAATTTCCCGTTGTATAGTTTCATTCGCAAACATCATATCTATGCTAACCCTGTCAATTGTATATCGTAAATTAAAAACACTGAATATAGTTCTGACTCACTTGCCTTGCTCATGATTTGAAATGCAGTAGACGTCCATGAACATTTTTTTTGAGTTACTAGATTTTGAGACTTTAGGACAGAAAATACACAGACCTAGACATATCATAAAAGAGATTTTAATTAGGAAAGTATTTGGGCACATTTGTGAGTCAATTATGTAACATGAATGCACATATTCCAAATATTCTCATATAAAGTGAAGGGAAATCTATTATTATGATGAAGCCTATGGAAAACGTTGAAATTTCCTTAACTTTACAGCAATGACGTCCCAAGTACCATATTTAAGGTTAAATCAACACATTTACCTGCCATGGCAGTGCGAGTTGACCACTTGTAAGACGACACTGCAGGGTTACATATCTGACATACATCCGCAGGGTTAACGTTATTCTCGCCAACACATCTGTTGTCAATGAAACAGTAACCTTTCTGTTGGAAAAAATATATATACATGAATGATAAAACAAACCACCGAAGACTAAAATCTCGCAAGGAACATTCGTCCATCGTGGGGCTCTTCAGGCGATTATTTTGCAAAATCAGTACGTTTGCCTGCCATGGTAGTGCGAGTTGACCACTTGTAAGACGACATTGCAGGGTTACATATCCGACAGATGTTTGTGGCAGAAGAAAATAATTTGTTTACCTATATTATATATATATTTCTATATTTGATACCAAATCTAGAGTATGGGAAATAACTCTTGTAACTTTATCTCGGGTACCTGGCGAAGTGGTAATATTTCTGCTTTTTCATGACTAAACATTTTTAATAACAGAATATGAAATGTGGTTTATTTATTATTTATTTTCATTGCAGTTTTTCAATTACATATCTTTTGCATTATTCATTTTTTCCGTGTGCATCAATATATCAAAATATTTTACATGGTACATCAAAAACTAACATATTTCTATAATGAAGCATTGTTTCTCCCAGATTGGTATATTGTTGTGAACGTCAGTGATCGTTGACGTACTAATTTTTCTATCCCATAAATAGCGCTAACAGCTCGATCATATCTGCCCTTTACATACGTGTATAGCGCCAAAGGCCCATTTGTCTTTTCTTATTTTTAAAGCACATTAAAGAGAATGTTTTTAAGTAGTATCCTTGTTTACCTTCAAGAGGAATGCTTGCTTTCCTTCGTGCATTGTCGGGTTTTGACACTTAGAGTCAAATATAAACAACGTTTGTACATCACCGAAGTGGGTTCCGTCGTTACTGAGGGACACATGGTACCCCTCTACAAAAGTGGTTTTGTCAGCATGAGAGCCGGAAGTATCTCTTTTCCGTCTGGTCAGGGTCAACGGGCAAAAAAGGTTCATAAAGGTTTGGATCTCAGCCGTAACTATCTTTTCGTTTTCTTCATGCACCACTCCGTTAGTGTCATACTAGTAATAAAAACGGTGAAAAGAAAACATATACGAAATGACTATTAGAATTCTTATCCGTGGCCTAATCAATAGCCCCCGTATAACGGTCTAACTCTCGTAGTTGTCTCATGCTTGCTCTCATCCTTTAGTTTAATGTTTGAAAATGCATTTAGAGTGTAAAGAATTTAGTATTGATTCCAATTATTTACGCACAAAATATAACAACACTTATATGATATGAAGGATATGTGCTTTTGTCTTTATGGTTATTGAACAAAAAAGTAAAGCATCATGGCGGTTAAACAGACTCAAATTCTCAGGATCTGTCAGATATTTGTAACTTTGTGACGGAATGATTGTCTTAAAAGTAGACTGGACAAGGCTTTGTTCCCGGTATACCCTGTGTCATATTTATATTATATTGCCTGTTGGACATCACAAGAATACTGCAAACCCGTCAAGGATAAAAGCAAGTATATGAGAATACACGAAATGGGCAAAAAGTAGTAATTATGTTTCTTACCCAGAACGGTTTCATATTGCACTTGAGATGTCCCTTGGCTATAAAATCGTCCCCTGTGGCCATAGCAACGTCACAATCCCATCTCTGTTTGTCACACATTCCGTCATCCAGAAGTTCCTCAAAATATGGTGGGATGCTTAGGTCTATGGAGCAGTCTGGGCCTCCGATTCCCTTGTTACAGTCACATGTTCCTTTAAAATATCAAATAGTCTCACACACTATTCAATGTTTTAAAAGAGATGCCTCTACGGTGTGTTTCCACATGGTAATATTTTAATTGTGGTTATATGTATTTAAAATAATTGTCATCATTTTCTAGGTTCTTTTCGAAACTACAAACAGTATCGAAATTTTACCTAAGTTTATTTTTTTCTAAACAAATATATAAGGACTCAGTTTATGCTGACACTGCTTCCTCTATAAGGAAACGTCGGGACGACTCGTCATCCAAAAAAGTGATGCAAACGTGTAATGAAATATCTTTTCACATTTCTTTGTGTACTCACTTCATTTTAACAACAGATGTACGTCATTTTATCGAATCATTAAACTGTGATCGTGAACATATACGATGAGATAAATCTCTGATGAGAGAATATTATTTACGCATAATGCTAGTATTTGCCAATTGGTGTTTTATATATATATATATACATTTTACGTTACCGTTGTTGCATCTACCGGCACCAGAACAGTTCCCGGGACAAGCAATCTTCCTTATGGCTGCAGCAATAGAAGGTTGTCCGGCAGTACCGTTCTCCTCCAAAGTGGTATTAAGCTCTAGTTCTGCCAAGCACCTGCTCTGTAGTGCTTCGCGTGAAGAATCGGTCCAATGAGTCGAGTTTGAAAGCTACATATATAGGAAAACACACATCTGAATAAATCCTCGTTACTTAAACAAAGGCGAATCAAAAAAGACATGAGTGGTAATGTCCAGATGATATTTGTTTTCAACGCTGAAGTTCATAGAATGAAAACCATGCAAGGATGCGTTCCGTATATACACACTGTTTGAGAAAGTACTTTATACTTTTTTTGAATAAGAACAATAATACATAATTGTTAATTATCCTTATACGTACAAAATTCTTAACATTTCATTGTTCGCATTAAACAAGTTTGATTATAATAGTTCATTTTGTATTAAGCTAAAAATTAGGTTAAAATATTTGTGAGAAAACTTTACGGACTAATACACGTTTCCATAGCAACGAACGAGTCAAAAAAGATGATTAAGATCTCGATGTTTGTGCTGTGATACAATGGACGTGTTAACAGGCAGACGACAGCTGTTAGAACGCGAAAATCTAGTAGATATAGGCTAAGTCTGTTGTCGTCCACGTGTATTGCATGCATACATATTTGTATGTATTATATATGTATTGTAAGTAAAATGTTTTGAAATTGAAAAACGCGAAATTGACTGTTGCATTCGATGAAAATTTCAAAGAACTGTCTGAGAGTGGGTAGTTGGAATTGGAATTGGTAAGTGGGAATCCAAGATTCATGCAAAACGTAAAACGCCATATAGGCAGCAATTAGATTTCTAAAGGCGTATTGGGACGCATTGTTGAACTTTGATATTGCCGTTAGGTTAGCAATGGACTTCAAACAAAACTCCAGATGTTCTACACATGACTTACGACGCAAAAGGCAGACTTTTCCTATGTTTGTTCCCCGAAACATTTTTCAAAAAGGCAGATAGACATTTTTAACGACACCAACATTAAAAAAAACCGGGGAAACGGTTTCGACTTTTAACTGAAAGAAACATGAATTAACAGTTTACCATCACACAATGTCGTTTTATTCAACTTACTTTATTAGGATGTATTCGCTCAATTAGCTTTCGACACACAAATTGCTTCCTTATCTAATGATTATTTATGGACCGCCATTGCCATATTTGATACCCAAAGACATATTCATTAACTCAGCATCACGATCATTTATCAAAAACGTATCAATAAGATTATAATTCATAACGACTACACAGCATTACATGCGACTAATTTACTATAAAGGAAAACATGAGGCGATATCCAAAATAATTCAAAGTGTCTTAACTATCAAGAAAAGGAGTATTAATACGTTGGGTAATATGTTTGCAAAGTTTTGTTAGAAACTTTAGAATAATTGTCTTGTGTAGTCTTTGTAAGGTTAAATAACAGCAGTAGTATTAAATCTTAAAAGGAATGGAAATTACAGGCACAAATTTGAGGTATAGGTAAGATGTGTGCAATGTTTTATTGTAAATGGTTAAGAACTTCAGGTGTAGTTCGGAAGACATAGTGCTTACAAAAGGACGGGGAGATGGTCAGACCGACAACCTGATTCTAGTATTACACGCTCCTACTAACCCTCAAGCATGGTATCACCACTATTGCAAATGTCCAAGACAGTGAAATGTGGTCCGTAACAAAAGCCCATTTTGCCTTCGTACATTGTAGTACACGTGATTCACACAGTATTGTTGACCTAAAACAGTGTCAACGTTGATCTCTGAATATAAATGATAAATTGTGTACCTGAAAATGTTCGTCGCAGTTCAATTTTCGCCCTCGGTAATGAAGGCGAATATATCATTACAAGGAATATTAGTATTTTGTTAAATTTCCAAATGTGTTAATGTACTTATCTTATGTACAAAAGGAAGTGGGCAATATGCATAGCGTATATAAGCCCTCCCCTTACAAAATATAACAGTACACATCATGTAAACGGTACTTTTACATATGTTTCTTTAAAGCTGACATTGCAAGTACATATGCTTTCAACTGAGATTTAAAAAAAAAGTGTTCCTTTTTCTGGTTTTAACATCTTCCCCTGTGACAATCTCTTTCGGCCGTCGTATCTAAGGAAGCGCCTACATTTTAGAATGTACTTGCTCGGCAACGAGTATGGGTCTCGTACGGTATAAAAAACATTACTAAACAATGTAATCCATTTTGAAAGGCAAAATTAACACCGAGCGAATACGGATGTACCAGCGTAAGGCGAACTTTGTTGTTTTTTCAGTGCTTTCATTCGGCACTTTTAAACAAGGAAATATACTTTTATCATTGGCTTGTGTATTGAAACCGATGTTGTTCGAAAAGGTATCCAACCAGTTAAGGAAATAGGAAACATCTTGTCAAAATAAAAAATCTCAAAAATCCTTGCCAAGAAGGGTGTTAGAATTCTCGTGTATGCACCCTAGCCTCTAATGCGTGTACGTTTTATAAATAGCATGTCACCCTACATACAATCGATGATCATCTTACTGAATTCTTATCATATATTGTATATATTTATATCCTATATATGCCGCTGTAACTCTAGAATGAGTATTGTAAATGCATTGCGTCTTAAATAAAACATGTACGAAAGGTAATGCGCTTTATAGATATAGTATATTATTTTCAAAATTATTATTTAGTGAGAAAAAATATTACCATGATATCCATTATACACATCTGGATGGAATGATTAGTGTCCACGTTAGGTATATCTCCGCACAACTGAAATAACGTTGAGTTCCCTAAGGTGGACTGGCAGTAGGTCCGAGCTTCTGCTTCAGTCATGTGTTCTTCTTGTGATGGCGTAGACTACAATTATGAAAACACAAAAATATTGTATTAATGACTGGTGTGTAACAAAATTAAGAACAAGGGACAAGCAAAATAAGGAAACAAGTCTAAAACAATGAGTACACCTTACGACTGGTACAACCTCTTCAAAAAGGTCAATGGCAACATGTTTAATTTAACAATACAGGGATATCTACAAGATCAAACAGATACTTTAACATTTACGGTGTAAGTTAACATTCATAGTTTTACTTTTCGTATGTTGAAGTTTCAAAAACGTTGTTGTGAGGTGGTCTTATCTCAGCATGAATGAAGTGACGTTTGAATAAGAGAATGAAAATATATGTAAATCTTTTGGATGAGTTATGCATTGCATTTAACACCAAGTCAAATGCTATTATAGTTTATCATCGTGTTTTGGTTTTATTTCTTATCTTCTTGCTATTTCTAGAATTTCGACTAGACATGAGGAAACATGGAAACAACTTATTGAACACGATATAAAAAGATCGCTTACCACATTAAATCCTGCCTATTGAACATTAGATATTGCGAATACTTAACACTTAACTCTGTCTACTAAACACTTGATAATGTCTACTGAACACTTAATACTGTCTACTGAACACTTGAAATTGTCTACTGAACACTTACAACTGTCTACTGAACATTTACAACTGTCTACTGACCAATAAATACTGAAACCTGAACTCTGAAAACTGTCTTCTGACCAATAAATTCTGTCTACTGAACACTTGATAATGTCTATTGAACACTTAAAACTGTCTACTGAACTCTGAAACCTGTCTACTGAACACTTAATTCTGTCTACTAAACACTTAATTCTGTGTACTGAACACTTAATTCTGTCTAATGAACACTTGATAATGTCAACTGAACACTTAATAATGTGTACTGAACATTTAATACTGTCTACTGAAAACCTAATTCTCTCTAATGAACACTTGATAATGTCCACTGAACACTTGATACTGTCTACTGAACATTTAATTCTGTCTACTGAACACTTGATAATGTCTACTAAACCCTTAATACTGTCTACCTAACTCTGAAAACTGTCTACTGAACATTTAATACTGTCTACTGAAAACTTACTACTGTCTACTGAACACTTACTCCTGTCTACTGAACCCTTGATAATGTCTACTGAACACTTATACCTGCCTACTGAACACTTACCATTGTCTATTGAACACTTAATTATGTCTATTGAACACTTAATACTATATACTGAAAACTTACTACTGTCTACTAAACACTTACTACTGTCTACTGAACCCTTGATAATGTCTACTGAACACTTACAACTGCCTACTGAACACTTACTATTGTCTACTGAACACTTAATTCTGTCTACTGAACACTTGATAATGTCTACTGAACACTAAATAATGTCTACTGAAAACTTACTACTGTCTACTGAACACTTAATACTGTCGACCGAACACTTAAGTTTGTCTACTAAACACTTAATTCTGTGTATTGAACACTTAATTCTTTTTATTGAACACTTAATTCTGTGTACTGAACATTTAATTCTGTCTACTGAACACTTCATACTGTCTACTGAACATTTAATTCTGTCTACTAAACACTTGTTAATGTCTACTAAACCCTCAATACCGTCTACCGAACTCTGAAAACCGTCTACTGAACACTTAATACTGTCTACTGAAAACTTAATACTGTCTACTGAACACTTACTACTGTCTACTGAACCCTTGATAATGTCTACTGAACACTTACAACTGTCTACTGAACACTTACTATTGTCTACTGAACACTTAATTCTGTCTACTGAACACTAAATACTGAAACCTGAACACTTAAAACTGTCTACTGAACACCTATGACTGTCTACTGAACACTTAATACCGTCGACTGAACACTAAATACTGAAACCTGAACACTTAATACTGTCTACTGAACACTTAATACTGTCGACCGAACACTTAACTCTGTCTACTAAACACTTAATAATGTCTATTGAACACTTAAAACTGTCTACTGAACTCTGAAACATGTCTAGTGAACACTTAATTCTGTGTGCTGAACACTTAATTCTGTCAACTGAACACTTGATAATGTCTACTGAACACTTCATAATGTCTACAGTGAACACTAAATACTGTCTACCGAACTCTGAAAACTTTCTACTGAACATTTAATACTGTTTACTGAACACTTAATACTGTCTACTGAACACTGAATACTGTCGACTGACACTTAAAACTGTAGACTGATATTTGAAAACTGTCTTCTAAACACTTGATAATGTCTACTGAACAATTAATACATTCTACTGAACACTTAATCTTGTCGACTGAACATTAATTACTGTGTACTGAACACTTGATAATGTCTACTGAACACTTGATAATGTCTACACTGAACACTAAATACTGTCTACCCAACTCTGAAAACTTTCTACTGAACATTTAATACTGTCTACTGAACACTTAATACCTTCTACTGAACACTTGATAATGTCTACCGAAAACTTAATACTGTCTACTGAACACTGAATACTGTCGACTGACACTTGATACTGTCTACTGAACACTTAATTCTGTCTACTGAACACTTACTACCGTCTACTGAACATTTAGTTCTGTCTACTGAACACTTGATAATGTCTACTGAACACTTAATTCTGTCTACTGAACACTTGAAAATGTCTACTGAACACTAAATACTGTCTACTGAACATTAAATTCTGCCTATTGAACACTTGATAATGTCTACTGAACCCTTAATACTGTTTACCGAACCTTGAAAATTGTCTACTGAGCTCTGAAAACTGTCTACTGAACACTTGATTATGTCTACTGAACATTTAATACTGTCTTCTGAACATTTGATTCTGTCTACTGAACACTTGATAATGTCTACTGAACCCTAAATACTGTCTACCGAACTCTAAAAATTGTCTACTGAACACTTAATACTCTTTACTGAACACTTAATTCTGTCCACTGAACACTTACAACTGTCTACTGAGCTCTGAAAACTTTCTTCTGAATACTTAATTATATCTAATGAATACTTGATAATGTCTAATGAACACTTAATACTGTCTACTGAAAACCTACTACTGTCTACTGAACACTTACTACTGTCTATTGAACACTTGATTATGTCTACTGAACACTTCATACTGTCTACTGAACACTTACCATTGTCTACTGAACACTTAATTCTGTCTACTGAACACTTACAACTGTTTACTGATCACTTAATACTGTCGACTGATATTTGAAAAATGTCTTCCAGACACTTGATAATGTCTACTGAACAATTTATACTTTCTACTGAACACTTAATCCTGTCGACTGAACACTAATTACTGTCTACTGAACACTTGATAATGTCTACTGAACACTTGATAATGTCTACTGAACACTTGATAATGTCTACACTGAACACTAAACCCTGTCTACCCAACTCTGAAAACTTTCTACTGAACATTTAATACTGTCTTCTGAACACTTAATACCTTCTACTGAACACTTGATAATGTCTACCGAAAACTTAATACTGTCTACTAAACACTGAATACTGTCGACTGACACTTCATACTTCTACTGAACACTTACTACTGTCTACTGAACATTTAATTCTGTCTACTGAACACTTGATAATGTCTACTGAACACTTGATTCTGTCTACTGAACACTTGAAAATGTCTACTAAACACTTAATACTCTTTACTGAACACTTAATTCTGTCCACTGAACACTTACAACTGTCTACTGAGCTCTGAAAACTGTCTACTGAACACTTAATTCTGTCTAATGAACACTTGATAGTGTCTACTGAACACTTAATACTGTCTACCGAACCCGAAAAATTGTCTACTGAACACTTAATACTCTTTACTGAACACTTAATTCTGTCTACTGAACACTTAATACTGTCTACTGAACTCTCAAAACTGTCTACTAAACACTTAATTCTGTCTAATGAACACTTGATGATATCTACTGAACACTTACAACTGTCTACTGAACTCTGAAACCTGTCTACGGAACACTTAATTATGTCTACTGCACACTTAATACCCTCTACTGAACATTTAATACTGTAATGCATTATCAATCCAGCGTAGTGCCTGTTTATTTCCATTGTACCCATAATTTGAAATATGTTTAAACTAACGAGTTCAAATGCACATGTTTTTTTTATCTGCAAGTCAACATTCCCATTTTATTTCATATTGTTTGGTTTCTAGTATCAATAAGATATTGCTTATATTTCTATTTATTATTATTTCGATTTGCAAAAAAGGTATAATACTACAATTGCATACTTAAATGAAATGAAGTGGATTTGTTTTTAGATTTCTTTGATAAAACAGTTTGATGGGTCTTTAAAAATCTCAATTTTGTGGGGGTTTTTCAAATTTAGAAGCGTCACAAAACAATTATGGAATTATACCTTCCTTTTACGCTGATGATACAGATCTCTTTTGTTCCTGTTTCTTTTAAGACTTCGCCTTGAACGGGTTTCCTCTGATATTTTGTGAATTTTACAAGTGTTTATTTTGACTTCCCCTCTCGCTGTTCTTGGACAGGTTGAAACCATAGCAGCAGAGCAATTTATCTGGTTGTTTTGTTTTCCATCTAACCACTTGCATTTGCAACGTCTATATTCAATATTCCATGGCTTAAGGGCATTTGGATCCAGCGAAGGATCAAATAAATTCACAGCGCCGTGGACATGACTCACGCTAGAAAAGAAAACTTAATCTATTTATTTCAAAAATTATGACATCCTGCCAAATCTACGACGTCCATCTTGTTCAACGAGTAAATTAGTTTTGAGGTACAACTTGCATTCCCTACAACACCTTCATACCGGCGGCTATAGTTCAACGGCTAAACGGAAGTAGCGCATTAAATACAAAATAGAGAAAAGTAATTAATTAATTAATTAATTCCGCATATCAAAATTCAATCCAAGATGACCGTTTTTAAAATAACTAAACAGAAGTTTCGTTGATTTACAGTGCCATAGTATACCTAAAATTTCTAAATTTTAATCAACAAGGGGCGTTATCGGACATGTTTGATGACTAAAAGTTTCAGGAAACGTCGCTAAACCAATTTTTGCGAAGGAAATGATAATGAATAAAATTGATAAGAAAACACAACGAGACCTAAAAGTCGTTTGGGGGATTTAGTATGAATCGTAACAAAAGCAATAACACCCCAAACTCATTAAGAGGACTGCATATGCATGTAATCGTGAAATTTTACATACGGGTAGTTGCTGCCAATACATTGGTGAATCCACATAATGTAAGGTATTTCACGTCAGCGTGTATAGTTTGTCACGGACTCATAACTTTCCTCAAACAATTTAAAATACAAAAACAGTAAAAAAGTTGTTTTTTTTTACTAAAACACTGCTTACACTGGTATACTGAGTGTGTCTTCAGGATTATGTTATGATATACAATTAAAATATGATCTTCTTGTAGAACTTCTCAACTTAGTACGATTTACCCTGTGGAAAATTATCCTGAGACAGATAGATCCTCGTAGAACCAGTGAAGTATTTATGTGCGCCGTTTCGATGACTACTACGATATCCTCCTTCATCTGACAAACGGTATGTAAAGCGTACGTGTACAATCGTGTAAATATATTCAAGTTAGCAATAAAACTATTGCCTTCAATTCGGCTCCGCTAGAAGTACGGAAGAGCATTAGGGCTATGTAAAAAAATAGGGTTGTTACTAACTCGAAAAATCGAGATAATGATAATTTTGACTTATTAACTCGAAATTTCGACTAAATGTTAAAACACGAATGTGAGCTAAGTTGTTGCAAAATGGATTTGCCGGAATTTGACAGCATTATATTTCAGTTTCCGAGAGAGATATATCATTAACGCCCTGGTACTACTATTTGCAGTCTAGTGTATTTCGTTGTAGCCAATTTTTTCATGAAACATCTGGAGCAAGAATCAGTAGCCCCTACTTCCATATTTGCAAGCCTAGCTTATTGAAAGTATATATATATATATATATCTTGACGACATATTAGAAACAATAAAGAAAGGGTCACAGAAGGGTTTGCCTTCCCATTTCAGCCACGTAGAGGAAGAGATCAACGGCACGGAAGAAGGTCTGCACGCGTCAGATGATGTCCTGGACGGGAAAAACGGAAAAATGTATCCATACAAAGATTTATCCGCAAGAGCAGAAGCACACCGTTGAGACAATAAAAAAAAGTGGATATCCGGAATGGGTACTCGAAAGGGTTAAAAATAACACTGCCAAAGTGAGGGGAAGTACTAAAAAGCCAATCAATGAGAAAAACAATATGAAAGAGCAGCTGGTCGTTACGTATATAAAAGGATTATTCCTAAACCATCCACAGAATATACTTCAGCCATGGTAAAGCGTCAGTCGTTTAGCCCCTCCCCCCTTTATTCCCCCATGGCATAGCATCAGTCATTGAACTTTTAAAATGATTTTTAAAATAAAAAAACCTACAGCCATGAATCGGAGAAAACTTTTGGTTTAAAATTGAAGTCATAATGTCCGAGTCCGAGTCCTTTACATGCCCTTTTGGTGTCTGCACTTTGGAAAATTGTGCTGTTGCTCATTTTAAAATCATCCGTACAGTCGTCTGTCAAAGTTCCACAAAGTCCTTCGGTCCTCCCTGGGTCTCTAACAGAAGGGTATATATGGACAGTGAGTCGGGAACTGATGCTGTTCACCTCAATCCGAGACCCTAACGGAGTGTAAATCTGAAAATTTAAATGCTTTGATTTTAGACATTGATTATAATTCTTATCGTACAATGAAATGCTGAAAATGTGAGCGTTACCTTCTTTAACACTAACATTAGAGTTTTTTCAAATTGTATTAAATTTACTTAAATTATTTCTTACGTGTTAAAAAATTAACTGAAATATTTGAAACATATTTATACAAGAATCTGATATAATTTTGGTTATGATTTTTGTCATGATTTATGATAAACATAAGTGGCCATGCATGAAAAATGAATTAATGAATAGCACATTGATACATTATTCAATCACACTATAACATGTATGTCAAGTACACTAATTCATCGATAAATATATTTTTGTACTTAACGATTTATCAACGACAAACCGAAAATAACATCTATAACCATAAAAAAAAAATCAGCAAAGATAAATCCACAAATATCAATCTTGTTTCAACAACTTTTATTGTGGTTTAGCATTTTCCGCCTTGTCGAATTTGGATGTTTAAAAATGGTTTCTCTAAGCTGTCTGCTCGAAGCCTACGTAGAAAACGTGATTTAAGGCCAGGATTAACGTCTGAATATTTCGAAAGCGAGAAGCCACCACGTGGTTTGCAGATGTGTTTTGTTCCCTTTCCAAAAATAAACATGTTTTTGTGAAGGGTAATTTTAAGAGATAGCGTCGGATCAATTATGAAAATATTTCTCGAAATGAATGTCTTTAAAACAAGCTGTGCCGCCACGTGTAATGAAATTTTTTAAACTCTTTTTTGTCTTAATAAATCATTGAACATTATTTCGGTCAAAGACAAAGTTAGTTCTATTTCTTTACTTTAATATTTGTGTGATGTTGGAATCTGCAAGCGAAAGCTTCGTCAAACCCTGTGTGTATGTATTGTGATTGGCGTGTCGGTGTTGAAACGTTAGAATATAATTCATCAACTGATATCTACCCTTTTCAGCGATGAAAAATGGTGAGTCAACTTTCGTGTTTTAGTATGAGACGTGATATGAATCTAGTAAGCGATAACCATTTCCCCCCGATCTTCACATGTGCTATCTTCTTTTTGATCAGATAAAAAAATGAATTCATATTTACCTAAGTAAGAAAAGACAGTTTAGCACGTGCAGCTGTTCTGAAAACGTCATCACTTTATACTGTGTAACCAGGGTCGAGTCATAATTTTTCACACATATCATGCGACATTGATCATGGCGCGGTGATTTTTGGTATTTATGGTAGGAGAGTTTTGAAGGAAAACAATCAATTACTCCCGTGTGTACAGACCGCGAAATAATATGACTAAGGCATGACATGGAGAGCGAAGCTCGTACTGTACATTTGTTTGATTTAAACATTTTTTATTTGTCATTCAACAAAAAGGATTAGGCACAAGTTATCTCAACTTAGAAACGACCTCTCCAATACATTTCATTATATTGATTACATGACAACAACAACAAATGTATTTATAAAATATATATGAACAAAGAAGAAAGGAAGAGAAAAGGGAAGAAAAGAAATTTAGAAGAATAAGAAAGAGAGATGATAGGATAATACTACTGACCTTAAAATCTGTTACTATTTTTAATGTAGATTTGGACTATATGGAAGATATTTTCATTGTCTTTATCTGACAAGTTTGGAGAACCGTACAGAATAACTTTTAGAGAAATATTACAATAACGTGAGATATCATCAATCAAAATTTGTCTTTGTCTGATATACAGCATACAATCAAAAAATAATGGACTGCATCATAGCTTAAACTACTACATGAATGACGCAATCTTGTATGTAAAATATTTAGTTTCGATTTCCTACATGAAAAAAAAATAGGCAACAAGTAACCTTGGTTACGCTGAATCGATGATTTAAAAATGTTAACGGATGGCTGCTCTCTGACAGTATTTGGTAAATCGTACATTTGTTTCAATAGTATAGTATAATTATTGAATCATAACATTACCCATTTTAATACATACAAAATGTACCTGTACTTCTTTTTTTATAATATACTTGAATCTGTTGCTGGACAAAATCATTCATCCTTGAACCTATGTGTGCTCTATTTTAGAATGATCCACATTCACACTACACTAATTTGACGCATCACATGTTAGTTTGAAGTTGACTGATTGTACTACAGTACTACTAGACCATATTGATAGTAATAGAATCATCATTTGGTTCTTGTTTTATCCAAGAATACCAGTATATACCCCCTCCCTCTACTCATGTATCATTGTATGTTCATAATAATATGTATTATTATTTTTATCCAAAAGAAACAAATGCCATTAAGGCATTTAAAAAAAAAAACCTGGAGTAAACATGATAATGTGAGTTAAAGGCAGAATGTTTAAACAAATGGTTTGGGCTGATATGCCAATCCATGAAGGATGTATCTGTTTTTAATTTAAATATATTTAGCATGTTAGATACTGCAGGTTAGAGACTGTCACGTCTCCCGCAAATATAAGTATAAAATGAAGATTTTAGATTGATTTGTTTTAAATATTTCAGATAATCAATGTGAAATGATAAAATTTAATGTTTGTACTGATTATATACGTTAAAAATTCCAGGCATCTACAGCAGGAGATTCCCCCTCTTCAACGTCGCTGTTGTCATAAAGTTTTTGTAGATACCTAGAGATAGATTAATATATCAGCTAAAACCGTTTGTTTGCAAGTGAAGTTTCTGGATGGACACCATCGTATAACTTTGTGTAATCATACTTTGTGATTTTTTTTGTACGATTTTGACCATGTTTTCCTCGATGTTTGATTGATACCCTTATTATGTCATTGTCAAATTTGAGGGTCAAAGATTGTGTGTTGTGTTGTGCTCAGTGATGATTGTGTTAATGGCATTGATGTCAGTTTCATGATGGACTTGTTGTTCTTGAGTCAATATTGGTGTTAAATGTGGTTGAATAAAAATAATTGCCCTCACCAGGTACATCATATGCAGAATAGTTTTGATTTTGATTAGAAACGGTTGCTGACAGTCGCATATTATGCAATCTGTTAACAAAAATGAAAGTGGTGAAAATGTTTCTAATTCTCTTCTTTACTGATATTCATAAAGCAGAGTAAACTAATGTGTTCACTTCAATGTCTAATCAAATGCTGTAATGATTTTTACAGTTGAACGGAAGCACAAATTGTCAAGCGTTTAAAGTTTATAAATTATATTTATCTAAGTATCAATAAAGATATTTTACTGTACAAAAAAATGCATTAGATGAAACTAGATTCAATATATTGTACAAGCAGATCAAGCATTGAAATTCCACAATTTTAGCACAGAATTAGATTTAAGTCCGTGGTTTTAGTTGTAAAATCTAAAGGTAATATCACAAATTTGAATCAAAATAATGTCAAAAGAAACGATCCCCAAATGGAAGAATTTAGAAAAACTGAATGTAAATTTGACGTTCTACAATAAATGCAGAAAAAATCCGCAATTTGACCCTTTGAAACACCTTGCGTTTTCCCTTGGAAAGCTGTCGGTGACAATTCTGTTTTACTGGAGCAGACGACCCGTGAACTTTGACCTCATCAATGAAACAAACGATATGTATGTTTAGGAAGTTGTCAGTGTCAAATTATCTATTTCTTTCCAAAATTAAAGCTAATTTAATCGACGGTAATACAGTTTGTCATCTAATCACATACTTACGCATTCTTCGACGCCATTAGCTTGTGGCATTCATGTAAGCTTTTTAATGACCATGCCAATCATTTCTCTTTTCGATACAAAAGGAAAGAAATCGTGGAAATAAACACGCCCAGTGTATTGAATATGGTCTATATTTTTTTTTTTTTTAATTCTTTGGTTCGAATACATAATTTTCCTGCTACGTTACCTGTTGCTTTATTATTCGATTAGGCATATTTACGGGCTCCATGAACCGGAAGAGGTCACCGGAAGTACGAAATGTTTCTAGGCTATAGCTGTAGGATTTTTTACACGCATATGTTACTAGTAAAGAGCTCCGCTCGGGTGCCTACGGCACTCAAGAGCTTCGCTTTTATAAACCCCAGAGATAAGATATGTTTTCTAATGACACCACGTTAACATCAAAACTGCGCGTAACTTTGAATAAGCTATAATTCTACATTTTCTGCTATTATTTGGTACGATTTGCTTACAAAAATGTTAGCAATTCTGCCTTTATATAAATAACTTTTTGTACCAAATATGTACAAAACAACATTTTTCAACTGCCAGAGTGCTTTCATTGTTAACAATTATAGGATTTTTAATCTGTCACATCAACTATTAAAGTGATTGATATTTACCCGATATGATAGTGTGTCCTTTTGCCGGACGTCTAACGAGGAGTCGTTACAGACCCTAAAGTCTGCCTGATGGCTTTTTCTGTCAATAACAAACACATCTCTTCCAGCTTGGACGGCCACTCCCCAGACACAAAACGGAGATCCACCTCTGTGGGCTTTGTCATAGTCACAAGGTCGAAATCTAGTTTGCACCTTAATAGAAAACGGATGGATACTTAATATTAATGTGTGGGTTTATAGAATATGCCGTCCCAACATATTTTTTCTTGAATGTATCACGTAAGAAGAAAGTCTTTATTTTCATAAGCTTTTGGGGTTAAAATTGATAACAACTTACTAGATGATCCTATCACTGGATGAATAGTAAAGAATAATATTTGTGTCGAAAATATTCGTCCAAACCTTTAATGGATGTGGAACTACATATTGATATGATAAAGCCCTTACCTGTATCGGGTATTGGGTATGCTTGTACATTATGAAGTCCCCTGAATATTGGATGTCGTATGGTCTGAAAAATCAGCAGAAAGATGTATTATGAAAATATAACATTAATATAATTCAGGTGCACAATAAATCTGGTTTAACGACATTTAGAAAATAAAAAAATAATATTATCACCAGCTTCAACAAAAAATATATCAAATATCAAAGTCCATGTGAAACCGCAATACAAGGAACTGAGTACACATGAAATGGAAAGAAGAGAAAAGAAAAGTTCCCAAAAAATCTGGATGCAAAACTTGAAGTTGGAGTTTGGAAGATTAATCGTTTTAAAAGGATGTTGCCCCCTCCCTACATGACGTTTCTTGTAAAACCAAGGATAATATATTTATTTCAAATAATCTCTTGTTTACCTTTGGTCGAATGTCATCATGTGTGGATCGTTGTTAGCCTGACATGTGCCGTTGTAAAGTCCGACATGATCTTTTACACTGACCTTAATAGAAATCATATCGAATTTTTATCTTTAGAAAAGCGTTACATCTTATTATTGCTTTTTTTGGCATGTATTCGGCTGAACTAATGAGATACTAAAGCTCTTTAAGGGATGTTCACGGAGAATTGCTAAACGAGTGTAATACATTAAGATGACGTATTATATCTGTAAACGGACAAGATTTGTTCAGGCAATCCCGCAGTGTTTACTTACACAATTAATGTTTATATTGTAGTGAAATTTGCCAATACTGGCATTACTTCCCTAACTATGTTTTTGATAATAAAACATATTTAAGAGGGTAAGCAGGAAGCATTTCGCCGAACAATTTTAAATCTACAGACGGCCAGGCAGATTGATAGACCATTCGTTTGAGATATTTATCGTTTGTCATGAAACATAAATTGACATTGTAATGAGTATACCTGAATTCTGGGAAGTGTATATTTAGACCACAAAGTATGGAAGTAATATGTATCCGTTCGCAAAACAACATCGAACAGATACTCAAACTTATTACGTCCCTCTTCTTCATCTGTCGCCACATTTATCTCTAATATATTTGACGAATTCTTGGTAAAAATGGTCGCCCCGCATGTCGATTGTCCAAATGTCGTGATTCCACGACACTCATCACTCCGTTTTGTAAACAACATTACATTGAAATAGCAATTGTCTCCTTCAGGTAAACATCCTATTGGCACCGTGGGTTGTAGACGTATAACACCGGTACTCCCTCTGACAATGGTGATGAACGGAGTTAAAACCTTAAAAAAATGAATAACAGATTATAATATCGAGCAGTGTAAATAAGCAATAGGACAGAATAAAACTTGTAACCGAGAAGGTACACATTCATCAAAATAAGTCATACCTTAATTCCAATGAAGACCTCTGCACTTTTTACAGATAATCCTGGGGGTCCTTTTGTTGCTGTTCTTGCCCTTACAGAACAAGACACCTAAAATGAATAAAACATCAAATATCAAAAGTACATTTATTTACGACTTTTGTAAGGACTTATTTAAGGAACAAAAATATTTTGTTCCCATGGTGTTTAAATTTATCAAACCTACATTTAATTGTAGCAGTTGCACCAATATGCCAGCAAGGTCTGTGAACAACTTTTGATACCGCTATTTCTAAGAAACTCCTAAAGGAATCATGATTAAACTCGGTATACATGATTAGTCCACAGTTGTGCATGTTTTAATATGCGATGGATCGTAAAAGCTAAATGACCACAGGGCATCTTTGAAACTATGAATCTTTTTCCAGAAACTGTATAAGGGTTCGTGACAAAGTTAGGTGTATATCACCCCACTGGTCCAGATTTTGTGCATAAGTAAAGATGGGTTGGAAAATAATATAATTGTTCAAGTTCAAGTTCTTTATTAACTTTAAGTCTTACGACTTATCAGTGTAGACAGACAGCGTTATTGGATCTTTTAAATAAAGATTGTTTTCGTATTTTTTCAGAAACTACGTAAGTGAAACTTGAAGAGATCAAACAAAACACTTGTAAAAAGTCCCTATTTGTGTCTGCAAATGTGGCAAGGAGTATCTCTAGAAACGGCTACTAAGATTTTGTATGGAAATTAAATTTGAAGTTTGTTACAGCTATGTATCGGAAAGTACCAAAGAGATAATGATGAAACTCTGTTCAATGTTTAAGATGGATAGGGAAATCTAGCATTGAACAAACTCCTCAGAGATCATATTGAGAAACCATATTTGCAATCTCCTTACTATCCCAAGAAATGTGCAAGCAAAATAAGAAAAGACATGTATGAAGAGGAAAGAACTTACGTACAAGCATTATGTAATGGTTTTGCATTGGTGGGCGCATACATTCATCTGGTTACATCTTATAATAAACAAAGGTTTCATTTTATAGCAAAACTGTACAGTGTTCAATTGGGCAAACTAAGTTATGTAATAGAAACAAATACATACATTCTTTCCAAGGGTAACTAGGTTGCTTTCATTCAAAAGGATGAAATTGATGTTATTGAAATGAACTGGCTTCATCGAAGTCAGGAAAACTCCATCAATATACCAGGTGACCTGATAAAACAACTCTGGCTTCTCAACGCGCTTCTCAAATTTACAGTAAGCTGTATAGGATTTCAAAGAGTTACCAGGAGTAAGATCGATAACGGCTTCAACTTTCGGAGGGATGTATGATGGCCTTTCACCTAAAAATTAAAATGGTAAATAGAAAAGAAAAAAAAAAAGAAAAGAACATTATTTGGTCGAACAAAAAATTCATGTTAAAGCTGATAGTGAAAGTTAAAAAGCTTTCAATTTAGATATTATTTTTAAAGTTTATTTTTTATCTGGTTTTGAGAACTTCCTCATCTCTTCTGACTATCGTTTCTAAGGAAGTGCCAACTTTCACGATTTGTTACCGACATTTTGTATCAGATCAGTTGAATAAAATTGAAAGGGAACACATCATTTTATCTAAGAAAAGTGGAAAAAGTAGTAAAATACGACCAATTAAGATATCAAATGCACAATCTTTGCCCCTCCCCCCAAAACACGGCCCCGAAATAAGCCAACATACGACGAACGCTAATGCCTACCTTTTAGATAACCAACTAGTTATATTTACATTTGCATGGCATTTCCACTATATAGGCTATTTAAAAGCTGTGTCGTTGATGGGACTTTAAATACCATGCACCACGAGACAGAATTCTTAGCGTATTAAAACAACACCGACCGGAACTACAATATCCAATGAAAATAAGCATGATGACTGCTGAAATATCGCTTGGCATTGTGAGACCTGACAATGTAATTGCAAATGTGCAAAAAAATAAAACGTATAAAAAAGCACCTTTTATTACAACAAATCAAGACCAAGGTCTGCAATATCGTACAAAATTCACATCGGTTGAAATAACCAATGCCGGCAATGGAAACAAATTTAACACTCTTACAATTTATCAGAAATATCGTCTGTTACACTGAACTGATCAACAGGGGTTCGTTACAAACGTCTGTAATACATAGACCTACTGACACATAATGCTACAAACCTACTGATATATGAGTCACAGCACACATATACATACACAAGGCATATAGTCAGGTTCTCATACAATCAACAAATAAATTCACGCCTGGATTCTTCACAAATTCCAACCTTTCTCTCTACTCATTCACCTTCTAAAAATAACTCCATCGTGGAGGGCAAGGTCGGATTCACGGATTCACGGTGTTCACTGTATTTATCCATGCGCGAAATTTATTCCGGGGGAAAATCGAAACAGTTTCTTATCCAACTTTCAGCTCAGATTTCTATTGAAAAACTTAAATCACCCTATAGACATATCCTACGCAATTGTGTTGATACTGAATTGTGGAATAAAATTGAATTGTTTGTTAAAATTTCAAAGTACTAGTTTGTTTGCCAATCAGCACGCGACAACACGCTGTTCCAACTATTGAACGAATTTGTGTGGACTGTCGATAAGGCGGGAATTTTAAATATAAATTGTAAGAACATAAAAGGCAGAGAAAACGTAAATATAAGTATTGAACTGGGTTTTTTTATGGTATTTATGATCTATTTGAATGACACAGCTTTGCAAGCAAACAAATCATAATGCACGCTAGTTCAATGCTTAAATAACTTCCTGTGTGAAAACAATACTAATTCCAAAACTAGATGTTCTGTACACCGAACTTTATGAGCATAGTATTTTAGCATTTACCGAAACTTGGCTTTCTGACTCTGATATTGATTCGTCCTTGGATATTTCTGGTTTTCACAGTCCTTTTTGTTACTATCGTAATGACGCCGTTGGAGGGGGTGTTGCTGTTTATGTAGCAGCCAATCTTTTTGTCAAAAGAAGGTCCGATATTGAAGTTGACGATGTCGAATGTGTTTAGGTTGAAATAGCATCCAAAGGTCAAATATTTCTTTTTGGTACTTTCTATAGACCCCCAAATTCTAACATAACTGTATGGACCAAATTTGAGGAATCCATTGGTAAGGCAATTAACTCTAGTATTGGAAATGTTTTTATAACTGGTGATTTTAACGTACATTTATTGCAACGCAGTCATAATTTTAACTATTTTGATAACATAATGTACACTTACGGACTTACGCAGTTAATTACTGAATGTACGCATTATACTGAACATTCGACATCCTTAATAGACGTTATATTGGTAAATAACGATTTTATAATAGATCGGTCTTATGTAGGGAAATTGTTCCTTGACCAACCAGTAAGATACCATTGTCCCATCTATACAAATCTTAATATTGTTCAACATTCAACCGACTCGTACCGAAGGAAAATTTGGCTTTATAAGCATGGAAATTTTGACAAACTAAGAGAACTATAAGAAATGTCGGATTGGCCTCAAGTATATGATGCTAATATCGATCTAGCATGCAAGCGTCTAACTGACTTCATCGATTCCGCTTCTTCTTCGGCTATCCCTAACAAAACGGTCATTATGAGAAAACGTGATCATCCATGGATGAACAAAACAATCAGAAAATTAATATCAAAACGTAAAATAAATCACAATAAGGCTAAACTTACTGATAGCCAATCTGACTGGTCTATTTTCAGATAAACCCGTAACAAGTGTGTAAATGCCATTAGACAATCTACAGAATCTTATTTGGACGGTTTGTCATCAAAATTATCTGATTTAAGACAATGCAACAAGTCATGGTGGTTAACTGTAAAACTCTTCATGAACAATAGTGGTAAATGTGGAGAAATACCAACGATCTTTCATGATAATGTCTATTACGAAACTGATGTTGATAAAGCTAATGTTTTTAATTTATACTTTTCAAGTCAATCCGTTGTGGATGATTCAATGGTTATGCTTCCTCCACTAATATAATTCCCTAATCGTATATGTCTGAGTAATATAAATATATCATGTACTGATGTTAAGGATGCCTTACTCAATTTGAAAAATGGTAAAGCTGTAGGACCAGATCTTATTAGTCCCAATGTGCTCAAGGAAGCTTGCTGAACCACTATCTATATTTTTTAATAAATCCTTATCACAAGGAATATTTCCATCATCGTGGAAAGAAGCAAATGTTTTACCATATATATAAAAAAGATAGCCGTAATGATGTTAAAAACTATCGACCAATTTCACTTTTAAGTATAATTGGTAAAGTGTTCGAGAGGTGCGTTTATAAACATGTTCATAATTTTCTTCTTGAATTGAAAGTAATAACAAAATATCAATCAGGTTTTACACCAGGCGATTCCTCTATTAACCAATTATTAAGTATTTCCAACGATTTTATTAAGGCATTAGATTCAGGTAAAGAAATAAGAGTAGTATTTTGTGACATCAGCAAAGCATTTGATAGGGTTTGGCACAAGAGGCTGTTGTATAAATTATCAAAAAAAATGGAATAACTGGATCGCTGTTAAAATGGTTCGAAAGCTACTTAACGAATAGAAAACAAAAACTTATAATCAATAATATTCACTCTGATTGGGCAGGAGTTAAGGCTGGAGTTCCACAGGGTTCAATACTTGGACCTTTGTTGTTTTTAATCTATATTAATGACATAGTCAACGATATCAAATCTTCTATGAAATTATTTGCTGATGATACTACTCTGTACATGATAGTTGAAAACCACTTAGAAACAAACAACGTTATGGAGTCTGATCTACAAAAAATTACTGAATGGTCCAAATCTTGGTTAGTTGATTTCAATCCTAAAAAACCGGAAAGCATGACCCTTAGTAGAAAAAGAAACAGTCAACCACATCCAATCTTACATATGTGCAATGAAGAAATATCAGAAGTACTGTTGCATAAACATCTTGGAGTTCTTTTTTCAAATAATTGCAGTTGGGTTGAACATGTTAAACAAATAATTCAGAAAGCAACGTCTAGATTAAATATTATGCGATCTCTAAAATTTAAACTCGACAGGCAAACATTACAAAATATATATTTTTCGTTTATTAGACCACTTGTAGAATATGCTGATAGTGTCTGGGATAGCATTCCCAAAGAATATATTTCTAAACTAGAGAATGTTAATTTGGAAGCTGCTAGAATTGTTTCAGGTGCTACTAAACTTGTAAGCTTAGACAAACTATATACAGAAGTAGGAGCGAATACATTAATAAACTGTAGACTTAATAATAAATTGTTACAATTCCATAAAATGTTTTATCAAAATACTCCAGAGTATCTGTATGATCTCTTACCCAATTCAGTTAGTGATGTTCATAGTTATAATACCAGACTTTCTGACCCATCATGTCTGTCACCTATTCTTTGTAAAACAAATATTTATCTAAATGCATTTCTTCCTTCTACTGTAAACAATTGGAATTCTCTTCCATTACATGTTAGAAATAACCCTTCCATTTCCCATTTAAAAGCCTTTCTGAAATCTAATAGTAAACCATGTCCACTTTCATACTACTTTCAGGGTTCACGTCTGGGTCAAATCTACCACGCAAGACTGCGAATGTCATGTAGCTCCCTAAAAGAACACTTGTTTACGAAAAACGTCATACCATCCCCGAATTGTTCCTGCGGTGCCATTGAGAACTCAACACATTATTTGCTAAAATGTAATAAATATACATCACTTAGACAGCTTCATATTCGGAGTTTGCCGTATCAACTATCAACTAATCTTTTAATCTTTAGTGATGACACTCTAACCCATCAAGAAAACACTGCGATTTTTCTAGCCGTCCAAAATTATATACTCAAAACTAAAAGATTTCAAATAAACGAATAGTCCTTAACAATTTCATTTTGACATATATATATATATATATATATATGTATGTTGTGTTGCATTCGTTTTACTACTATGTTTTAAAATGTATTTGGATTTATATGCTTATTCAGTGATTTTGCCATTGCATTTCTTTATACCATATTATGTCACTATCTCGCCATGATTATGATTGTTTGATAAAGTGATGTGTTACCTTGAAAGAGCAGGACGAGCCAGGGACGAGGCGGGAAAGTGTATATTTGATAAGTGTGATGGCTAGTATGTGAACTGCAACGTTTTTAATAATCATGGCGGTGCTTTGTGACATACTAATTTTGTCAATAGTTGATTTAATGGTGATTTATTCTATGTAACTTGTATATACATTTTAACCTTTTTCGAGCGTCCATTTACAGGACTGCTGACATTATCATCTACTATTCCATAGTTATATTTTACAGAATCGTGTTCCACATACTCATTGCAATAGAGCAATATGATATTACCATCTGATGATCATATGTATATTGATATGTTATTCATTCCTGGTTTCCACTGCATACCAATCCATTACCCCCTCCCCTATTCCTGTAATCTTCTATTGTACATATTACTTCATTCTTGTAGCTATGCGTTGAAAAGCTGATTACTAAGCAGGTAACAAATTTACATAAGTGTCACAACACTTGTTTTTGTTTCCTTTTCTGTTTTATAAAACATGTATTTCGATGTATTGTCAAACAAAATTTGAATAAAACAAAGTTTAAACCAATACTAATTCCAATCATTTCCATGAGAACGTTTCAATTATCAAATTTCACATTGTTGACTACACACCGGGGAGTGTTTCATTTCGCACTTGTTTTGCTTGGAAAGCGTCTACACGATGAAGACTAGGAGTTCATAATAAAGTTTTCGTGTGTTGGTGCAGTTCTATGCACGTGAAAGACCGATGCTATATATGGGATTTATAGAAGTATTTTCAGTAATATACCTTTTATTTTAGATACACAATTTTCGAGAATGTGCCATAATTAACAACCAGCGCGGCAGTGTTTTAAAGTATTCAGGTGAGTGCGTTTCATTTTCGATATCGGTTGCCGACAGTGTGCGCGATGCATTGAATTGCAAGACGGTCAGTTGTAGAATGATAACCGGTTTGACAGGTTATGCGCATTTTATAAGCAGCGAGACCCATATTCGTTACCAAGCAAGGACAAACTAAAATGTCGGCACTTCTTTAGAAACGATAGTCGGAAGAGACGGGAAAGATCTCAAAACAAGAAAAAAATTGAAAAAAAAACCCCAATTGAAAGCTTTTTGACTTGCGCTGTCAGCTTTAAACTTTAAACTACGGTGATGAATTATCAAATGGATGCGGAGGATTTTTTTTTCAAATCAAATCGGATACCTATCATGTTTTTTAATTTATCAGATAATACATTCATGGACGCAACGCTGCCATAGAGCGCCTATTATGTGCAAAGTTCAACCAGATTATAAGGTTAGCACCATCATATCTGATAACACATGAAAAAAAGTATATTTACTTTTCTTTTTTTTTCTTTTTTTTTAAGAAGGCAAATTTGTATGTGATGGAAATGGGAAAAACACTTATTAATTGAGGCAACTATGAATTGAAGAAAAATATTCACGTGTGGGTACAAGAAATACCCCTCGCATTTCAAAGGAAAGATATTAGTAATTGGAAGATTACGAGATAAAACGTGGATTATCCGCGCTGACGATATTTCAAACGAAATCAGCATACAACTTATTTATACTTGGGACAGAAAATTGCAAATGTCAAAAGATGCTTTGACAACTTTATTGGCTGCATGATTATTTTGACCCCTGTGTTAAGCAAAAAAAAATATATATTCACAGATTAATCATATGAAAGGTAAAACATGGAATGGAGCAGGTACTGATTATGTAAATATGACATATCATCATATAAAAAATATTTATGTGCAAAATAACACACAGGAATCAACAGAATAAGGTATGACTGAACTTTCTATAGTAGCTATCAAATATTTGAAACAACAATTGATGAAACAGGGAACGTAAAGCTAATTGAATCGATAAAAATCGACATAGAGAATACCAATATTATTTGTCACTGAAAGTTAAGTAAGAGTAATAGACAAACCAAACATAAGCAAAATGTTATGAATAATTAGTTTAAATATTTTAAATTGAATATTTCTATATATATATATCAATTATTTGCAGTATATTAGATGCACTAATATATATATATTGGTGGTCAGGTGGCGCCGTGGATAACGCACTCACCTTTCACCAAAGCTGTCGAGGTTCGATTCCCCGATCGGATGTGTAAAGATATGGGATAACTTGCCCTACCACGTGGGTATTTTCTTCGGGTACTCCGATTTCCTCCCACATTAGGACACTATATGGTTGTACAGTAAAGGATTTATTTATTACTGATTAAAATCGCAAAGAAAATATTGTTTCTAGTCAATTTTTCAACATGAATCGTTCCAAAAGAGTATCAAACTACAGTTTTGTATATTATCATGAAGAATTTTGTGGCAAGATTATAAAAAACTGACGTCACTGAGTAAATCGCATCCATTGTTTTATTTATTTTATTTGGCTTTATCCTAATTTCCACAGTGTCGGTTCTGAAATGGACTGTAATAAGTACAACCGGATCGAATGGAAAACAAAACATTTTTTATCCATCTTCCTATTTAAGTGTTTCCTTTGGAATCTTCATTCACGTTCATGCCTTAGTAATATGGAAAACCCCTTTGATTGAAAAAGAACTTTTATTATTGTTTTAATGAATTGAAATAAATAAACAAAGGACGAATAAATGATGTGAATGATTGGAAATAGGAAAACGATAGAAGCATTTACGAACGAAAGAACAAGCAAGCAAACGATATATTGAACTTGAGCTTACCAAATCGTAAGATCAGATAGCTTAGGCCACCTAACTTATCAGTACCTAAGTTGAGGAAATTATAGTGATTAATCTAGAGAAGATGTTCTTACCTGACTCTCCCTCACCTAAAAAGAAAGAAACTAGGTATGAATAAATAAACCATACTTATATATCATTCATAAGATTGAAAATTGTTTTTAATGCATTCACAACTGTTAGCGAACTAATTGACTATTCTTTAGATCACTTACCGAAACAATAGCCTTGGTCGGATCCTTCAGTATGGCCAAGATAATAGACACGGTATTTGCCACAATTCTTGACATTGATGGTGTAGGATTGTACGCAAGACAGTGGTTCGACCACAACGCAAGCTGTTCGTGAAACTTCCCTTGCAGAAACCGTCGGTATTGTTCCTTGATTAATAAAAGATGAAACAAAAACATTTTAAAACAGGCACTTGCATGATATGTACGAACAACGGTTAAGTGTTTGTATGCTGTAATTATATATATATATAAATATGTATATTATATATATATATAAATATCAGTCTCCTGATGAACGGGGAATCAACCCGAGAAAGGCCTAGAGACGCTATCTCTGTCTTTTGTTCTATTTTTTATATTTAATTCCAACACAAGGACTTCTCAATGTTTTCTTTATATGAATATATATATAATATAAAAAGAAAAATTCTCAACAGCGAGTCATAATTACTTTCATCTCGTCAAGGATATTCTTCAGACTGTTTATTTGAAGTAGATCATCATATGGCCAGTTGACTTGTGTGTAGATGAGTTATTTAGTGATCTTAATTCTTTGCACCCTTCTATTCGTTATACTATGGAAGTGAGGGAGTCTTCGTTACCCTTTTTGGAGGTGCTTGTCATTTTGAAAAACAATACTGTTTCTACTGATTTATATACAAAACCTACAGATTTTCATTATTATCTGAATTTTTACTCAAACCATTCTAAGCATGCTAAAGTAAATATTCCTTTCAATTTAGCGCTGCGTATCGTTTCTATAGTGAGAAATAAGATTACAAAGAAGAAAAGGCTTGATGAACTTTCTACATTTTTGAAATCTCAAGGATATCCTGAGAGTATTGTTGAAAAAGGTAAAAGTATGGCAATTTAAAAGGCACCTTTTACAGCCCGCACTCGTGTTGTAGATAATATGCCTATAATGTCATTTGTTTCAACTTTCAACCCTAGTAATTTCAACATATTTCCAGTAATCCGAAACAGATGTGAAGATTTGAAGGAAGCAGCGAACGTAGGAAAAAAGTTTTGGATCGTTGTGCTTTAATAAACAGGAAAAGACAACCTGAAAATCTTAAATGTAATCTAACTAGATCAAGGTTTGAAAGTAATCATCTTAATGCATGTGTATCAAAATGTAATACACCTCATAATGGTAACCTTATTATAGAAGGAAGTGATGTTAAGTTAAAAAATGGTTTTAACTTTAAGGTTAAAAAACATATGAATTGTAAGTCTAGTAATGTAATTTACGCATTGATTTGTAACAATTGTTCTGAAATTTATAGTATTTTGGATCAGTAATGTGATGGTCCCGAATTTGCTCCGCACAGAGATTTTTTTTAAAAATAATATTATTTATAGTAATTCTAAATCCTAAACAAATAGTACTCTTTACCTTAAGACCATAATTATGTATTTCTATTGATGTGATATCGCTATGGCGGGTACGCATATAGCGGACGTCGCTACAGCGAACTATTATGTGACGTCATAGTACCCCATGTTGATACCAAACATAAGAGTCGTACATACCATTTACTTAGACATGGGTATACGTTTACGATTGAAAAGTTTTCCGGTGAATTTATCTTACGGAAAGATCAATGCAAATTGAAAATTGATTATCACTTTGCGTCATATAAACTTCACACTACTGTATTTAAGAAAGCAATAGTGACTTAATAAGTCAATGTCAGTGTAAAATCATCATCATCATCATCATTTTCATCATCATCATCATCATCAACACCAAAAACATCACCATCATCATCATCACCATCATCACCATCATCATCATCATCATCATCATCATCATCATCATCATCATCATCATTATATCCACTCATCAGCATCCCCAGTTTTCATATCATTCTCAATCATCATCAACAACAATAAGCTTTTATTGATATGAATAAAATTGATGGATTATTTGCGAATCATATATTACAGTAGAGTATACATGATCATAACTAGTTAATAAGAATTCATTTTTACTCTAAACTACTACTTTTATTAGCTTCAAAAATATATCTACCTTATGTACGAAGAATTTTTCATTTTGTTCACACATAAAAATAGTTACACAAATTTACTCACAGTTGGTGTCAAAATACTCCTTACTACAGTGTTTACTATAGTGTGTACTATTGAGGTTACTCAACCGTGACAGTTCATTCATGCATGTGTAGGGCACGTGCTGTCACCCAGGAGTTGGAAAACTGATTTGGCCAGTGTTGGGACTGTAGGTGTCTCAGGTAACTCAGGTAAGGTGAGGAACACATGCTAGGCATGCAATAACCAGGTATTTTACAAGGTACCCAATGTAGATTGGGGTAGTACCGGACATAACTTTGACAGTGAAGGTTGTGGTCTAGGGCTCAACTATACAATGTATTAGCTGGGTGCTAATGATGGCTGTGTGCCTGTATCTCTACATGGATAGCTGGGTGTTGGGAGGGCTGTGTGCCTGAACTCCAATTCCATTGCCAATATGTATTAGCTGGGCGCTAATGATGGCTGTGTGCCTGTATATATAAATTCCAAGCTGTGTGCTTGTATATATGAATTCCAAGCTGTGTGCTTCGAAGCTGTTTTGTGAGACAGTGTGCCCTGTGTTTGTGTGGACTGTGTCCATGAGGCTGTGTGCTAAAATATTGTGGAGGACTGTGTGTCCGGATGAAGTTACCTGGAAGTTGATGCGAGTATTTACGAGAGTGTATATTAAATGCTTATTAAATAAGGGTTTTTATTATAAGTATAGTCTAATGCTATATAACTAGTGTGCATGTAGTTGATCACCAGAGTGAGAAATGTGCTTTTATAGTTAAAAACCTGACTAGGGAATTTAGTATTTCCTAAAGAAGTGTAGACCGTCAGAAATACTCAAGGCATATATATTAATGTGTTGTACTAGACATTCGGGCTAGATTAGGTACTATATATCATTGGTTATGCCTTGTAGGTAACCTCTTTATGTGACCCCGACCATAGATAGACCTTCTGTAGGAGCCGGTTTGGCTGTAACGGGATGTAACCCTGGTGTGACCTTGAGTCGACCTTGAATTGTAACTGAGATTCAACCTGGAATGATTTCACCAATATGGAGAGAAGTCGTGAGCTCCGTCTTGAGTGACATATACGCGCCATTCCTGGATACGCGTGAACCATATAACTACGGTGTCCTCTGATACTGTGGAATACATGTGCAGAGACTGTAACATCACTTGATGGACTCTATAAGTTATATTTATTGATGTAGGGTGAACTATTTGTAAAATGTAAACCGGGGGTCTATGTATTGTTAGGAGTGAGTGAAAGATTGCATTGTGTGATTGTGGACTTTGTGGTATTTATGTTGTGTATATTGTATGAATTTATTTGGTTGTAAATAACTGTATATATGTTGGTTATAATTTGATTATGCTAGTTTTTATTAATTTTGGGCTAATATACTACACCTCGTGGCAGATGGTTTACGCCAATAAAACCGTTTTATGTATTTCAATCGTAAGTCATGATACCTATTACATATTATATTAAAATGATATTCATATTCTATATCTGAATTACATCTAGTACAGATTTTTTGTTCTCTTGCTATATCATTATATCGCTCAGTCTCAATATGTACATGTAAGTTATTCGATGTTTTTTTTGCATATATTGTGTCAAATAATACTACAGGGAAAAACGATTTGCCAAATGCTTATATAAGTTATATTTTATTGAAGACTCAAGTGAACAAATTAAATAATGTTGATTTTGATAAAAAAAAAAAACATTTGCTTTATTAGGCACAATATACTTTTATGGTTGTAAGTATAGTGTGTTGTCCATACATCTCCAAAGTCAAGAGAAAATAGATAGTGAATTACGTTATTTACTTAATTAAAACAATTGCCTGTTTTACTTTTGCTTAAGGAATTATCGGTGCTAAGAGTATAGTTTTTCGTGTCTATTAATTTGAACAATTATTTTACCATTTTTTACTTCCTGAAACATTATAAAATACACCATTGCATTACAAGTAGTCTTCTTCATCTTTTAGATACTCTTACAAAAATATAAGTGCACCGTTTCGATATCCAAACCTATTAAAGAACCCCAAACTTCACAGCTATAATTCAACAGACTACAAACGTAAGTATCAAATAGATGCAGTAACTTAAGTTTCAAAATTAAGGCTGAAGTTAAAAAGTTCGGAAAAAGAGCAAACATAGTCTTACGACCTTGGTGAGCAAGCTGCTTCTGAATAAGATTAACTTTATTGTTAAATCTAGGTTTCAGGCCTAAATAGCTGAATGCGTCTACAATTTCAATTTTATTTTTATATGTCCAGGTTTCTCAGTCCTTAATACGACCTCTATTTCTGAAAACAGCTATCTTTGTTTTTTCTGAATTTACTGTTTACTTCCATTTTGCGATAATCTACAAAGCAGCGATACAATCTTTTCCTAGATGACAACGTTTTTGTTATAATAGAATTTAATGCAAATATAGCATCTATCGCACTCATTTCGGGACGAAATCCGAATTGAGCATCTGTTAAAATATCATATTTTGAACAAACATCTAAAATATGTTTGTTAAGTAAAGAAGTAAAAAGTTTACTAAGCTTATTAAACTGCTGCATCGAAAGTTATTAGGGTCATTACGTATACCTTTCTTATGAACAAGAATAATGATAGTAGAAGACCAATTTGTCTTGGTCTGTGCTTTTTTTTGTTTCCTTTAAATGACAATTAGTTATTCTCCCATCAAATATGACACAAGCTTAAGCTGCCAAGGAATAATCATTAATTCACGATATATCGTTGCAAATATCAAAACGTAGTAGGGTTATCCCCAGAATATTACTTCAGAAAATTACGTATTAAAACACGCTCTGGAGTAGCAAATCGCCTCTCTAAAATCTTGTCTTTATGATTTTTAAAACTTAATTTTCAGTTATATTAACACGGTAGAAGACCGATAATCAGAAGGAGTAAGGAGGTAATTGGTACTCAAATTTGTCGGTTAATATAGCTGAAACTTCTTGTGACATGTAACACGCTAATGCCAGGACATTGTCACGAATTTCGTTTTTATTACTAGTGTTAAATTATGAAACATGATTTAAGTTTAAATTTTTGGTAGACTTGGAAGACCACAAACTTGAATTGATGGACAGGGTTCATTATATTCAATACAAGTATTTTAAACCATACTACTCAGATTGTTTTCTATGTGGCGTTAAATATATCACTTCGTGATAGTTTCTTTCGACTGGGCTTCATGTTTGCTTTGATTGTGTCTGATCAGTCTATTAAGTCGTATAAATCTATTTTTCAAAATCAAGGTTTAACGAAGAGTTTAAATCAATCAGGAAGTCATGACTGATTTAAAATCATTAGAAGAGCTTTATACCTCCAAAACAATAATAAAAGATTTTTTTTATATACATTGTATATATGGAAGTGATCTTTGAGCTATTATCATTACACCTCCTGATATCATATGGGGTAATAAAGTATTAAAAACAACATAAACGAGAAGAAAGTTCTTTTACCATTGAGCCATATTGGAGATTTAGTTCCACAGGATGTGAATTTTGGCACGGTTGTTGGCATGTCCTCCTCCCCAGCCCGATACCAGGCAAATTTCAAGTAGCGGTCATTCACCGGTTCATCTGCTGTATTGTACATATTGTGCACAAATCTGAAGTCTGCAAACGGTAACTCTGTGTAGTTCACGCATGGATCTGCCTCTCCATGTTGAAATCCTACAATGTTAAATTACCATTTATTAACAAATCCATATTCAAAACAAATTATCATTAAATTTTGAAATGTTAACATAATATATAAGCAGATATACGGAAGGATAAGTACCAACGGAGACTTACCAACTGCGAGAAGAAATAGTAAAAACATCATCTTGCATACTGTCAGCATATACTGGTGCAAGTATCGTTAAGTGTATGCTTTATATATGCTGGGCTACACAACTCCACGGCCAATGAATAACGTACACACTACGACATATACAAATCAATACTCTCCTTTCCTCGCCTGATAACAGCGAGTAATCAAATTCAACATGGCTGTGCATAATTCGTTTTCATACAATCATACTTTAGGCAGGGTGTTTCAAATATTTTTGAAATGTAAAATCTTTTATTTTACCTTTATTCAAAATTACCGTTACCAATTTTCAACTATTTACTTATTAACAAATAAAAGCAAACCAATGAAAAACTATTGCATAACTTCACAAATTATCTAATTTTTGAGAAATAAAAAGGTCCAAATAAATTATGTTATCATTTTGGTTTCTAGGATTTGTTTCGATATAAATGTATCACAATCAAAAATGAAAATGTTTCTCTGATATTTAAGTCATTATGTAATTATATCAATATTTTTGTATCCTGTAGTATTCTATCTCTATTCATATTTTTCCCTATCACTATCTCTGATAGTTTATTTACCATATAAATAAAATAACGCGTTTGATTAAAAGTGCTTGAATGTATAGCAACAGGTTTTTCTATAACACTAGGAAAACGTTATCAGTTACAGTCTACAAACCCGGGGGGTATAGTCCTAAAGCATGCGTTCCTAGCAACAATGTCCACATGACAAACACAATATCAAACTTCATGATCACTCCTGTCGCAATAGATCATTGTATCTTCACTTATTTGACACATTTAGGTGCGATATTCGTTTTTTCATGTGTAAGAATGATAAGCGATTTCGCTATAAATATGTACATATTCTACAAATAAGCTCCCTCTCTCACTCTTAAACATTTCCTACTGCGAACGCCTTATTCATCATCGATTCTTGTAATAATTGTAATAAAAATATATAGTAATCATCAGCTGTTAACCACCATCAAAATTATGAATTTGAAGCTTGTTTCATTTTTTATTGACAAATTAAAAGGGAGTAATATAACAAGATTTATTGTACATGAGTTTTATCAATCAACGCTAAGCCAACATTACTTTATCTATTAAACTTAGTATTAATCATATTTGGAATTGACATTCCATTAATAAGTATATTCGGAAGCAGAGCTCTACAATTTACTATTCAGTGTAAGTGCACATCAAAACCATTTCATTTCCCTTTTTTTTTAATTTCTACTATTTAAAAACACTTTTTGCTAAGAACTAGTAATGAACTTTCACGTGTGCTTTATTTCACGAACTATGCCTGTAGGATTTCCCCCAGAACTTGAATTCACGATTAAGGGGATGCAATTTCTGACATTATTAATGGTATTACAAAAAGGGATTATTGTTTAAGAAATGTTGGACCCCAGAATTGCAAAACAACCAATCACTGTGGTAATGAGTTTGCTTTCTGCTGGTTAATGAATATAGATTGGCAAAACAAAAGGACAATTACGACAACGAACGAATGGTCATCGTTTGGTAGTGGACTGTGCAGAAGTCAATGTTTATGTCAACATTTCAACCTCACTGAGAATTTAATTCTGTCTATGACTCTTTGTGTTTTAAGAAACTTCATCTTGATAAGGTTTCTTAGCACTGCTGCGCCATATGGATGTAATGACCGTGTAAACTCGGGAGGGTTTTTTTCGCGTAAAAACGCGAAATTTTCGCGATATCATCCGAAACTTCTTATGAAAGCGATTGCAACGCTTTTAATGACATTTTTACAAATGATGTTTTGTACAAGTACTGATGAATGTTAACTCATAGGCGGAATGTTCCAGTCCTGCAAATGATACATCCGTCTAAACAGCATATATCGGACACCTATGAAACTATCTATTGAAACACATGTTGATATTCGATTTTCGATCTTGATTTAGACAAAAGTATTCTTGTCAAACACTGCAACCGGCGTTAATTGATAACTTGCATTCTGCTATTGACACAGGAAATTTCAAAGCAATTTTATATATCGATTATTGGAAAGCTTTCGACATGGTAGATTTTAACATCCCAATACAGAAATTCAGAAAATAACACTTTGGATTCAAAGCATTACTGTACTTTCCTTCTTCTTATCTTTATACTAGATTTCGGACAGGCTGAATAGAGGAATAAACCTCATCTACTCGACTTGTAAAGAGTTCCTCAAGGAACAATTCTGGCCCGCTTTTATATTTCATATATATTAGTGATTTACATCTTACTGTAGACGACTGCGAACAGACCTTTTTGCTGATAATGCAACAATATCCTGTCATACAAAGTCAGTTATACAGACAGCAATGCTTTTGCAAACAAGATAAGAACAGATATACATGTAAGTAAAACAAAACATATGCTATTTATTCGAAGACAACACTTGTTAGCTCACACGGTATTAAGGTTAGAGCCAATGAAAGTTGTATAGAATATGTAAAAAGTGATAAGATGTTGGATATGTTAAGCGGACAGGATTATTTATAGTCAACCCAAATTCAGTGTATAATTTTACTATTGAGTCTTTTACGCAGATTTAAAATTAGCTTTAATTACATATTCGGATTATTTTCTATAAGGAAGAAACCAGTACAACCTCATTTCGATTATTGCTGCACAATCTGGGGTAACATTATCTCATCATCTTTACTCTATACTTAAACTTCAAAAAAATATGACGCATTATCCTTGACTATCCGAATGATATGACAGCGGATGACAAATCAATAAACTCAAATCATGCCAATAACTTGTATAATTTATTTCCAGAAATCTCATTAACATATACATATGAACAAATGAAAGACTTTATATCAAATAGGGGGGGGGGGGGGGGGGGGGGGNGTGTAAGTGTGTGAGTGTGTGCGTGTGTGCAATATGCTTTGTATCTGATCTGTGTGTTAAAAAATATTACTGTTGAACATAATATCAATGATGTTGGAATTTGAAACTTGCATCTGAATTTAAATATCAAATTGATTTTACATTGTGTTTGTATCCTGAGTTTCCAAAGAGACATTAATATGTGAGATAGGATGCTATGGTTACATGTAGTAGGTATGCTATTTACCTATGAGTCAAATGTATATAATAGATGACCTTTCGGAAGAAAAGTATAATCCTTAATTGTTATCCTCTTTAAACAAAGTTATCTTATCTTATTAAGTAGGTTTCGCAATATAGCGCGAATGTTTCGCGTTATTTCGCAAAAATGTCGCGTTATATCGCAAAAAACCCACAACCTCCTTCGAAAATAAAATCAATAGGCTTTCCTACCAACACACTATTGTTTTAATTTCGATTGTTTTCGTGTAAATAGTTACCTCCGTTTGTATATTATTGTAGCACAGTTGGTCCTGGACACTCCCGTTGACCAAGCTCAATCGGTTAGAGCGATAGTATAACAAAAGTCAAGGTTTCGAATCCCGGACTAGCCATGCTATTTTTTTAACACTCGAAACTCTGTTGTTTATTCATCGAAGTGACAAAAGTCCAACCGGTTTCATGTTTAACTTAAAAAAACCTTACGAGAACTCTAGAGGAACTATCATGCGCTCATCATGTTCAACCTTCAACTGCATTAGCTTCCTGTCCTTGTATTACGAACATTGCTAAAGGCTACACCTAAATTCAAACGGTTTCTGGTTCTATTTGGAAAGTAGCTTGGAAACTTCATAAAAATTTATATGGATAGTATGTTGGTCTTACAATATTGTCAAACCTTGTATTTTTTATTTTGAAACAATTGTTATTAACTTATTCTTTTGAATAGCGTGATTTGGCTAAAGGAAAATTATGGAGTTCGAATCATCTTTCTTGAAGTGATTGCTTATCTTTGCAACATGAAGGATGCTGGCTTATGTATAGGAAAATCTTTGAAGCTTTGGCTAATTTACCGAAATATCTGTTCTCTCATTATATATAAAAGACGACATTATTGCTGAACTTCAATATATTTTGAGTTATTATAATTTCTGTTAAGCAATTTAAGGGTAGGTTGCTTTGTACGAGGAACATATGACAAAAATTCTAGCAGTCTTAACCTGTCTGGTCAACAACTGTTTGTATACCTGTTAAGTAACCATGAATTGACGAAATTTCAGCGGGGGATAATCCCAATGATACAAAGAACATGTCTTTAGATAAGTCTGTTACTCTAAAACGACTGACAGATTATAAGAAATCAATCAGATAGGTTTAAAATTCATCTTTTTATTTACATATCAATTGAGGTCGATACAAAAGTTGATGACGCATTCATTACGCAACAACTTCCTGCTAGATAACAAATGTTATTCGGCCGTAGCGTTACTAGGAAGGGGATAATCTGTAAAACCTGCCTGTTAGCGCTTGTTAAATTAAACGATATTTTACGCGTTGCTGATTACAACAATAACACAATGTTGAATGCACAGCCAAGAAAGTATTTAGTATAACTATGATATACTTAGATGTCATCATATTACAGTTTCAATTTCTCATTCTAATGTTATCAGATACTTTAAATACTTTAGAACATTATCAATTATCAAAAGTAATACCTTAAGTGTATTTTTTCCCCGAAATATGTTGAACAGGTTGTAAAACATATTAACATAGAGCAAAATCGCAATATAAATAACCAATCTGATGAAATTGCTTAATTTTGATACTTATTATTCTCTAACATCAGTTAAAACACTTGACATTTTTATCTTGAATCTTATTTTAAAAAGAAATCTGTTACTGCTATTGAGATATATATCCGTTTTATTCGTGCATTCGTGGTTACATGTACAATAGAATAATACAATCAATAAAAAGGGCGACACTTTTGATAATGAATAAAGGTGTTTAAGAGTTGTCAATTATATGCTTTAATGTTTTCAGGATGATGTTTTTATTTAATAAATGTTTAGCTGAATTGTGATGATTCGAGAACTTACAGAACAAATATTTATAAAGCCGTCAAATCCAGCTTTAATGCATAATAATTTTCATAGTCTGTTGAATGCACGTGATTTACGCGGTCCTAATATTGTTCATGACGTCTCTGCTATTGTTTATTGTTGACGTCACTATGCTTGTTTAATGCATTACTATTGATGACGTGATGCAACTACTGGTAACTAATTAACATCTGTCAGGATGGAGAAACCCAAGAAGACAGAAAAACCTAGCAGTCAGTCTTGTATATTTGTTATTGCATTATATATTTTCCTTCGCAAGGATTGCATATTTTATTGTCTGCTGTATTTTATACATTAATCAAAGCTTTATTATACATACAAAAACAATGTCACTGTAAAAGTGAATGTATGCTATTCGGAAATAATACATATGTCATGGCGTGTCATTTATATTGACGCGGGCATATACTTGATGTTATCTTAATTATTTTGATGATTAAATCTTATAAGCATAATATTTTTTTGTCTTGCTTTCACGGGATTAGGTTGATTTATTGGCCAAAGCACACATCTAGTTGCTGCGATAGGAATCGATACTGTTATAACGCTATATTTTTACTTAAACAAATAAAATGCTAGCCAATGAGACAGTGTGAGGACTACGAGACTTTCGTTGGGTTGATAGGAATGCACAGTGACCTACAGTGTACAGTCAGGTCGAATGGCGACAAGCATGTCCTGTATACTGTCTTTTTTAGTGATTCTGATGTATGTATTGCCGTCCGAATCTTCTGCGGGTAAGTAAAGACTATTTATTGTTTAATACCAGATGGAATTGTTCTAAACATTTTACAAACAGTTTGTTCGATAAAACGACTTTAAACTTCAATATCTTTTCTGATACTACGTGTAATATTGTTGATGTACTACATCTGTGATATTATCATCTTATCTGTGATTCGCCATTAGGGTGTATTGTTTCTATATCATCTATATTCATCCCGACTGTAAATATCATATTTTCATGTCGACCACATGTGATAAAATACAATTAAAGGGTATAATCTTCTTGCTTTCGGCGTATCAAACAATTTCAATATATGATTCCTAGTTTCCTTTTAGTTTCAGATCCGTGCGTTAGTCACGAAAGAATCCACAAAGGGAAATACAGAGGAACAAAATGCAACTACAGACTTGGGAAAGCAGTAAATGACCGGTACATCAAAGATAGTATGTGGTACATAGCAGTGGGATCCAATGGCCCACTGAGTATGCCAACATTTCCTGTTAACGTCGACGAATGTAGTACCAAATTGCCCATCTGGATGAATGGTATGTTTTGATCTTTTAATGATAAGCAAAAGAAGTAAAATGCGTATCTTGTTTTTTAATATTTTATTGATGCGTACAAACTAAAATTATTTTTTTGTTAATAGTATTTATTGTATCATATTAAAGTATATTTTGAGGAATGAAAACATTTTTCATCTGAAGCAGAATATCAAATCAATAAAAAAATATTTTGTCTTCAAAATTGTAAGATATTTAAAAAGATTGGAATTGGGACAGTAAAAAATTTGGAAATGAGCAAACTAGTTAAGTGAATCTGTATCCTGAAACTTCAAGATTTATATGATTGATATGAATAATATATTACCGTTTGGCCTTTTTGTTGTAATTAGGCCTGTGCATAAAACGGATGAATTAAACTAACCTTTAAATTTTAGAGGGATACATTTTTATTTTTTTTGTAAATTAGTTTAGCAAAATGTTTATCTCTGTGCTGCACAGCACATTTTAGTATGGCCAGATACATAATTCAGACCGGATTCAAGCAGAGTGGACGCTACTTTTTCTCCGTTCGATTCACAATTAGATTATTCACTAAAGTTAGACGATTAAACTGTTGCTTTGTTGATTTTTAGAAAACCGTTCAATTAAGTGTGTGGAATCAACTTTCAAAACCTTGTATAAACTCATCAATATTAATAAATCTACATGTTAAATATTATGTCATATTTCAACAAAATATCACCGATATGCTACTCAATGTATATTTACGCTTTTGAATAACATTTTACACAATTCTGTAATAGTTATTTTAATTTTTAAGAACAAGGTTTTTATAAATTGCTGTGTGCTGTCGAACTATCTATTGATTTTAACGGAAAATTTAGACAAACTCAAAAGCAAGCCGCTGACCAGGGGAGAACATCTTTGTTTGCATTATCAAATGTTTGTAAGAAAACAATTTTAATATAAAAACTCAATTGTCTGTTTTGATACTTATGTAAATAGTGTTTTAAGTTATGGAGCAGAAGTATGGGGCTTCCATGCTGCACCAGATATCGAAAATTGCATGTGAGATTCTGCAAACAAATATTACTACTACATAAAAATAGTATGGTGTATTATGAACTTGGAAGATATCCCATGAAAATAGTTAGAAAATTACGTATATTCAAATATTGGATAAAACTGAGAAATGTAGGAAATTATATTCTAAGGTCATGCTATGATGATATGCTTGGTAATAATGACATTTTGTTAATGAGTGTAAAAGAAGAATTATACAGAATTGGTCTTGGAAATGTGTGGGAATCCTCCAGTTTAAATAATAACACTTTTCACATTATAAAAGAACGTCTTTGTGACATATTCAGACAAGAATGTTTTGAAAAAATTCAATCTTCTCCTAAAGGAGCATTGTATCAATATGTGTGTAATTTTGGTCACCAGTATTATTTATCAAAACCTGTAAATATAAATTATTTAAAACAAATATGTAAAATTCGAATGTCTGCACATAAGTTAAATATTGAGTGTGGCAGATATAATCGAACTGAAATACAAAACAGATTTTGTACAGTATGTGACCTGAATGATGTCGAGGATGAGTTCCATTTCATTTTAAAATGTCCTTGCTATATTGATATAAGGTTGAAACTAATTAAGAAAGATTATATAAGACATACAAGCATGTACAAATGAATTCAACTACTTACTTGTGAGAATGTATCCGACATTTGAAATCTTGGCAATTTTTTAATACAAACAAACAAAAGGAGATATTGTATGTTGTCTCTGTATTGTTTTGTATATATGTTATAACTGATAAGTCAACCGACATTATCTTAAAAAGACGACTTTCTTGCTGAACTTCAATTTATTTTTGGGTTAAAATATTTTCTGTAAAGAAATAATAATTTATCAATCAACTTAAGGGTAAGTTGTATTGTACGTGGAACATATGACAAAATTATCTATAAGTCTTAACGTTTCTGGTCAACAACTGTTTGTATCCCTATAAAGTAAACATGAATTGACGAAATTTCAGCGGGGGATAATCCCAATGTTACAAAGAACATGTCTTTAGATAAAAATTCATCTCTTTATTACATATAAATTGAGTTTGATTAAAACTTATTGACGTATCATCTCGCAGCAACTTCCTGTTAGATAACAAATGTTATTCGGCCGTAGCGTTACTAGGAAGGAGATAATCTGTACAACCTGCTTGCTTGCTTGCTTGCTTGTTAAATTAAAAGATATTTTTTAACGCATTCAACACGCAACACGCAACTACTTCCTGTTATCAGATACTGTAAAGACTTTAGAACAACATAAATTATCAAAAGTAATTCAGCTTTAGTGTATTATTTTCCTAAATATGTTGAACAGGGAATAGAACATATTAACATAAAGCAAAATCGCAATATCACTGACCAGTCAGGCGCGTAGCTGGACTGTTTTGTATGTGCATGAAGAAGCCATTCTAGAGGGGTACGGGGGCATGACCCCCCCCCCCCCCCCCCCCCCCCCCCCCCGGATTTTTTTTAGATATCTAGATATCTAGAAGCACTATCGTGCCATCTGGTGGCTTTTTAGATACATATTTGAGCTCTTTTTTCTCCTTTTTCTCTCCGACAAAAATGTGTCGATTGTTGGAATTACCCGAAAATATCCGTTGCGTCATATCTCTTTCCTGATGAATCTTAATTAACTAGATATTTAAAATGTCGGAGGCAATATGAACAGGTTAATTTCAGATTTTTTGCTGTTGTGTCCCCCAAATCCTCTTTATATCATCAACATTTCTCAGAACCTAAGATAACGCTAGCTCCTATATCGATGTTTAGATATATGTATACATATATATCCAGTAGCCCTACCGAAGATAGGCCCAGGACTACTCTTAAAAAAATACTTAATTAGTTCATGACAGGGACAAATGAAGGCCTATATAATGTCAAAGATTAGCAAAAGCTACAAGTACGTGGCTTTTTTTCTGGCTTTGGGGCTTTGCCTTTTTCATATTACATTTGCAGGCGAAGTGAATGTAAAACTCAGATGGATCCTATCCGCGCATATATCCGCCCTAAGACCTATAACAACAATGCTAGTAACAAATCAATCTACAATTGTTATTCGGAAGACCTTTAATTGGTGAAAAAAATATACACAAAAATACATCCATTCCGGAAAAACAACCCGCCTCCGTTGACTTAGCTGTATTTTATGACCATCGTTTGTTAAAATGTTGCCGTGGATGGAATTTGAACTCGTGAGCTTTTTCCCATCTTTTTGACAGGATATCGAAATCCACCTTCACTTAAGTAAGACAAATATCGCCCTCGCTTGTTTTCCCGATATCAGAGGTAACAACAGTCAGACTGATCAGAACTGTGTTCGGTCGGTCCGGCATTACTAGGCCCTAATACAAATAGCCATTTTAGACTCGTCGATGTCTAAGTTAATGTCGCAAGAGGATGTTGTTTCATGTGAACCTACAGCTGCTTGGAAGAAGTCATGTATAAACTTGTTATTCGAAGATGATGCGGGTTTTTCGTTGGCTTTGCAGTCATGTTTCCGATGTTGACAACTTAAAAAATACTAATAATAAAATCGGCACCAGGTACCCTATAGGTTGGAACTTCGGGATGCGTACTGATTGTCGGCTGTCGGTTATACAGTTAAATTTAATATATTTTTCAAATGAACCACACATCATTTAATCACTTTTCCGAACTACAAAATAAATAAATAAAAATATAATAGTATATTTAAATTTTGTATGTGCATGCAACTGCTTATTTGCTTACGTGGCAGCTACGCGCCTGCCAGTACGATACAATTACTTAATGTTAATACTTATTATTCTTATCACATCAACATCAGTTAAAACACTTGACATTTTTGTCTTGAACCTTATTTTAAAAAATATCTTACTGCTATTGTGATTTTATCCGTTTTATTTGTGCGTTCGTGGTTACATGTACAATGCAATAAATCAACCAATAAAAACTGCGACACTTTTGATAAGAGTTTTAACGATGGATTAACGTAAGTCATAATATAAACAGAATATGTTTTAAATCTGTATCTAAGTAAACTATATGTAGTTGTTCAATTATGTTAAACACGACATATTGTAATCAATTCAATGTTTACATTTTTTTTATAGGACTAGATGAATGATTGATATTAGGATAAATAAATGAATGAAATATAGTAAGTAATATTTGCAAGGGAGAAATATAGCATAAAATATTTAAATGAAATTTACCTAAGTAGTTTCCTTATTTACAATATTCGTTTTTAATATTAGAGATAATTCTTGATCATTCTACATTCTTTCATTCACTTATTCTACGTATTATTAGTCTAATGATGTATTTCATTAGCGATTAATTAAAATATTGGATATATATCTAAGTATAAAGTAAATTTGCAAATTGCACTTTTATTCCTTAAAGCTAGTTATTTCTACTCCAGACAAATTGTATATAACTTTGTTTGCAGGAATTATTTAAATTTCTGATACGTTTTATATGCCAACGTTACGAAAGATACCGTTTAGCTGCAAATTCATGATTTGAAACAGTTCGATTTAAAAAGGTTGCCCTTTTCCCCTTTCTAAAATATCATAAAACGTATGGCTTTTGATATATAAAATGTTTCTAATAGCCACATCTATCATAATACATTGAAATATGAGGTTAAATAAACATTATGTTCTCTTTTCAGGTACACATCCAGACACTGGTGTGACAGTTAACAGGACAGCGTGTATGACAGGTCCAACGATGAAATGCCAGGAAGAATACAAAATACAGGTGAAAAACTGCAGTGCATTTAATGTCTACAAATTACAAAAAACAACTGGATTGGAAATGGCCTACTGCTTTGGTAAGAAACGTATCATTTATCGTTATTAAATTAAAGCCACTCTTACCAAAGTTTACTAATTGATTATATCTCATACATATATTATCCTGGCATTTTTTCACAATGTAAGACATAATATCGAACTAATAACGATGGTTAAAAAGAGCATAATATTTGGAAGTAACTATCTAAGTTGCGTAATGACAGAAATAAATAAATAAAAAGATAGATAATGCCTCATTTCTCTCAATAAAATTACAGTTGTATGTGTGTAAGTACGTATGCATATGTGAAAGTAAACATATGAAATGTGATATTTAGCTTTGTATTTTGCGGTATTGAACATTACCGTTTCCGTTCTTTTTCTTTACTTCTTGGGAGGGTCTAAATTTTGCACAACACCATTTATGGTCGTCAGTCAATATTTGTAAAATATTTACTGGCATTTAAACAAACTCAAATGTTTAGAATGGGATGTGGATTTCATTTATAGAGAATCAGTGGTAATTATCATGAATTACATTTTATTTGTAGGTGAAAATGTGCCATGTCCACCAACAGGTATGTACTTGGGAAAACATGTAACTGTATGTCAGATTAATGTCAAAGTAAAATAACTAGACTCTAAAATGTAAACGTTAGAACAATTTATTTAGTAAACCAACGGTATATATAATTATCAAAGACTGACATCGCTATGCTACAAGTAGTAATTTACAGAGCTTTCATAATTTTAACATAAATGTTTTCTTTTGTCTTAGTTTCTTAGTTATACATTTTCCCGATTTTAAGACTGGTCGTAGAAACAAAATGATTGCCAAGCTACCATCATTGATTTTGAAAGAAGAGGTTTGCAAGAAGTACTTGACAGGTCTTTCTCGAAATCTCACAATCTCACTTTGAAAAGACAATATCAAATACAACAGCATAAAGTTACCACCAGTTGCATTAGATTGTTTTGTTGACATGACTCAACTCCAACAGATTAAAGAAAAGATATAATTTACGAAGAAACAATGACGATCTTACGATAATGGGTACAAAGATTACTCTTGGATATTGTTTTTTTTAACGACGGAATCAAAACTCAAATAAAAAACACTTTAGATTTTTTTTATTTCACATATATATACGTCTTATAAACACTATTAACTGTTGAAGTTTGTCTAAGTAGCAATGCCTTATTAATGACCTTGCACGCTTAAACGTCTTCACACATATGCTCTCTGAAACAAAAGATTCTAAACCTTATTAAGTACAAAGTGAAATAAAAAGAAACCTCTACTACATTTATGGTCTTGTTAACAATTCAATTCTTTGTTCAGAACGTCATAAATATCGGGAAAATGAAATATATAAGTATGTTTTTGCGTAATTACGATCTATAGAAGGCAATCAATGTTTACGACGCAGGATGTCACATAATTTTGTCATTGAAGATCCGTGTGTTGATATTGACCGTGAGGAGCTAGTAGACGATGGACACAGGGCTCCTACGTGTTCTCGAATGGATCTGTGTGACAACAACATTAATGGATGGTACCGTGTGAACAAACATGGGAGTAATGGCACCGGGCTTAAAATGTCCGACAAGTGTCCACGTCCCGGATACTGCGGCGCGACTTCGCCGATCTGGCTCGAAGGTATTTTCGCTCTTTTAAAATAATGCTTTCTCACAATAAGCACCTAAACTTTGCTTTTGATAAAACAAATAAAAAATCACAATAAATATTTTTAAAAAAAATGAATGAATGAATGAATGGAAGAAAATATGAATTAATGAAAGAGTGAATGAAATGAATGATAAAAAATATATAATGTTAGAGCTATCATTCAACAAATTTGTTCCAAAACATACAGAGAACTGGTTAATTCTATAATTATCTTAGTATATTGAAACATATGTGTATTGGGAAAGCTATTTGAGACAGTGTATCCAGTCTAGCGATTATATCTGTAATCAAGTATTTGAAATGGAATCATTGAAATTGTTTTGGATTATATCCTGACTCTCCTTTTTGATAGAACGGCATCCATCGCGCTCTGACGGCATCGTGACAAGAAACGCATGTGTACGAAATGAAACGGATTGTTGCGGAGAGAGAGTTCAGATAAGAGTCGTCAACTGTCAGTCGTATTATGCCTATGAGCTCAAGGCTAGGACTACCTGTCCAGAGAGGTACTGCTTTGGAAACGTTGAGAATGGTACGTACGACAAGCATACCTGGATTCTTGTATTACTTTCTTACCAAATGATTTCGCAAGCAATATACAAGATTTCCGTCCAATCAGATTATCTCGCATTGGAGAAATTATTTCTAGATTTAAACGACAGATGTCGTTAGTGAAGCAGAAGACGCTTTCCCTTCCGGAACACAAGTTCTTTTTCTCGTTGTACCTTTCAAGGTTTTCCAACTAGATCTTGCCTTCTTACATAGTTCATCCTACTTTTTATCGATTGTGAGTTTGGATAACTTCTAAAAAACAGTTTATAAATACGCCTGAAATTAATAAATACACTGTATTTTCTCAATCAGTGCCTGTTTTCGGGAACAATATTAATATTTTATTAGATATGTTATTTGATTTTCCTTTCCTTAAATATTTGTAAAACATTTACTGACATTTAAACAAACTCAAAGGTTTAGAATGGGATGTGGATTTCACTTATAGAACATCAGTGGTAATTATCATGAATTACATTTTATTTGTAGGTGAAAATGTGCCATGTCCACCAACAGGTATGTACTTGGGAAAACATGTAACTGTATGTCAGATTAATGTCAAAGTAAAATAACGAGACTTTAAAATGTAAACGTTAGAACAATTTATTTAATAAACCAACGAAATATATAAATATCAAAGACTGACATCGCTATGCTACAAGTAGTAATTTACAGAGCTTTCATAATTTTAACGTAAATATTTTCTTTTGTCTTAGTTTCTTAGTTATACATTTTCCCGATTTTAAGACTGGTCGTAGAAACAATATGATTGCCAAGCTACCATCATTGATTTTGAAAGTAGGGGTTTGTAAGAAGTACTTGACAGGTCTTTCTCGAAATCTCACAACCTCGCGTTGAAAAGACAATATGAAATACAACAGCATAAAGTTACCACCAGTTGCATTAGATTGTTTTGTTGACATGACTCAACTTCAACAGATTAAAGAAAAGATATAATTTACGAAGAAACAATGACGATCTTACTATGGTGGGCACAAAGATTATTCTTGGATCTCGGTGGAATCAAAACTCAAATAAAAAACACTTTAGAAAAAATATTAATTAACATATATACGTCTTATAAACACTATTTACTGTTGAAGTTTGTCAAAGTAGCAATGCCTTATTAATTACGTTGCATGCTAAAACGTCTTCACAAATATGCTCTCCGAAATATAGGATTATAAACCTAATTAAGTACAAAGTGAAATAAAAAGTAACCTCTACTACATTTATGTTCTTGTTAACAGTTCAATTCTTCGTTTAGAACGTCATAAATATCGGGAAAATAAAATATATAAGTATGTTTTTGCGTAATTACGATCTATAGAAGGCAATCAATGTTTACGACGCAGGATGTCACATAATTTTGTCATTGAAGATCCGTGTGTGGATATTGACCGTGAGGAGCTAGTAGACGATGGACACAGGGCTCCTACGTGTTCTCGAATGGATCTGTGTGACAACAACATTAATGGATGGTACCGTGTGAACAAACATGGGAGTGATGGCACCGGGCTTAAAATGTCTGACAAGTGTCCACGTCCCGGATACTGCGGCGCGACTTCGCCGATCTGGCTCGAAGGGATTTCCGATATATAAAATAATGCTTTCTCACAATAATCACCTAAACTTTGCTTTTGATAAAACAAATAAAAAATCACATTAAGAATAAAAATCAAATGAATGAATGAATGAATATGAATGAAAGAATGAATGAATGAAAGAATGAATGAATGAATGAATAACCTTCGCCGATCTGGCTCGAAGGTATTTCCGATATATAAAATAATGCTTTCTCACAATAATCACCTAAACTTTGCTTTTGATAAAACAATTAAAAATCACATTAAGAATAAAAATCAAATAAATGAATGAATGAATGAATATGAATGAAAGAATGAATGAATGAAAGAATGAATGAATGATGAATGAAAGAATGAATGAATGAATGAATAAATGAATGAAATGAATAATTAAAAAAATATATAATATAAGAGGCATCTTCCAACAAATTTGTTCCAAAACATACAGAGAACTGGTTAATTCTATAATTATCTTTGAATATTAAAAAACATGTGTATCGGCAAAGCTATTTCAGACAGTGTATCCAGTCTAGCGATTATATCTGTCATCAAGTATTTAAAATGGAATCATTGAAATTGTTTTGGATTATATCCTGACTCTCCTTTGTGATAGAACGGCATCCAACGCCATCTGACGGCATCGTGACAAGAAACGCATGCGTGAGAAATGAAACTGATTGCTGCGGAGAGAGAGTTCAGATAAGAGTCGTCAACTGTCAGTCGTATTATGCCTATGAGCTCAAGGCTAGGACTACCTGTCCAGAGAGGTACTGCTTTGGAAACGTTGAGAATGGTACGTACGATAAGCATACCTGGATCTTGTATTACTTTCTTACCAAATGATTTCGCAAGCGATATACAAGATTTCCGTCCAATCAGATTGCTCTGGCATGGGAGAAATTATTTCTAGATTTAAACGACAGATGTCGTTAGTGAAGCAGAAGACACTTTCCCTTCCGGAACACAAGTTCTTTTTCTCGTTGTACCTTTCAAGGGTTTCCAATTAGATCTTACCTTCTTACATAGTTCACCCTACTTTTTATCGATTGTGAGTTTGGACAACTTCTAAAGAACAGTCAATAAATACGTCTGAAATAAATAAATACAATGTATTTCTCTCAATCAGTGCCTGTTTTCGGGAACATTATTAATATATTATTATATTAGATATGTCATTTGATTTTCCTTTACGTGCAGACTTTTTAAACACCACGTCTTTTTAGTGAATATTTTGTGAATTTTTCATAATAAAGAAGAGGGTACATATTCGAACTTGATAAATTCATATAAATAGCATGATTTTTGTCTAAACCTCTTACTTTCCAACATTACAGACATCGATTGCATTGCAAATAACGGCACGTTTGGTCATAACAGCGGATGTCATTTGCAAACCAACACCGTAAGTAGAGAATTAGAGGAAAGGTTCAGATAAGGTGAATTGAATCCTGCTTTATTGAGGTTTATTGGATATAAACCTCAGTGGGTCTTGACACAAGTTCTATGAACTGCACAGCAATTCATATTGTCATCACTCACTATAATTCGTCGTTCCAGTAAGATGAATAACTTGTTTGCATTGATTACAAAGAAACAAATTAATTAAGATGTAAATTGGTTTTCTTTAATTAAATTAAAAACTTCTGACAAAAAAATCTAACAATCTATTAATAGAACTACTTCCCTTGCCCCAATTGAATCGTTCATTTTTTTTTTTTTTTTTTTAAATGTTTTGTAGGTATTTTTAGTCCAGGTTCAGCCTTAATATGTGTTTTAAATTACTTAAAATGAAGAACTTATTAATTGGCTATTTACTCATTATTGATAGATGCGATACAGTATTTGATGGGTGTTTGAACCGGTTACAAAGTACGCTGACGTTTTTTGAGATATGTATTTTATGTTGAAAAACTAGCATAAGAAAGGAATAATGTTCGTTATTTCCCAAAGCATTTTCATTAATTAAATTGTTAAATAATCATTTATTTATATATAAAGTGATGAGGTTATTCGTAACGGGCAGACACTGATTAACAGAGCGGCGTATAATTTAAAATATCAGATGATTTAAACCTGTCACTTGTCTCCCATTATTGATAATGTGGTTACCCAAAGTTTCTTAGCATATTTGAATAAAAACATTAAGCACGAAACATAACTACAATCATGTCGATAGGCAATTAACGAAGACACTTCTCTTCATTGTTTTTTCATTACTATTGATTGTTTTTTCCTTCCTTATTTATTTTAAATGTAATCAACATATCTAACCTGAATTCTTATACATGAAGAATATTTTAATTTGTTATATAAACATATTTTACATACTTTTACAGGTACTAGAAGTGATCTCGGCCTTCCTCCTGTTGTGGATGTGTTCCCGTTGATGGCAGTGATAATGTATTGCTAGTGATTTCACGCAGTATCGTGGAGTTTCAATCATTTTTTGTTTATGTGTGACCAACTGTGATATTTATGTCCATGCAAATAAACATCAATCAAACAATGCTAAGCAAATATGAAAACAGATTCAAGATATTCTAAATAAAGCTTACAAATAGAGTAATATGCTTATTGATTCTGTTGATGATGTCTTTATAGAAATGTGTATTATTAGACTATAACAATATATTATTATTACTTCTAATTTAAAGTAAACTATGTAGTAAATACTCTTTTGTATTATTTCCGTCCAGAACAAACACTCCTGTTAATCCCTTGTTTTTTCAATAAATATTCCAATACATTTTGTTTGTGTGATTACATAAGCTTCGGATTAAGATTAATGGCATCGACTGTCCGATGAGTAAACATGAGGTCCATGGCCGTGTTGACTCGCGCTTTTTTGACAATTTTGTGTAGCGTTGTACGATACGAAGTACGTTGATAAGTGTTTACAGACACAATATTTTGTTTCAAGATAAAAATGAGTTTGCACATGCTCGTTTTGTGGGTTGCCTTTAGTCTACGACGGGGTGATTGATATTCAATTCTTAATTTTTTCGCACCCTTCCTTCCTCTGAGCAAGGACATTTAATTACCTTTTCCCTTATGCGCGATTTATTTGGGATTCGCTGCGCATACGTGACTTACTGATCAATCTAATGTTTGTGTAGACTAGTTTGTCTTTTATAAATAACATTCTTTTTGAACTCGGTGTCATATTTGGTTTACACTTAATTAAGACCCACCAATGTAGTACGGTCGATTCTCCTCTCTTAACCTGCCACACTGTTAACTTTAGCACCACTCCCATTGTCAGCACTGTCAACCTAATGTCCTCATATGGTATGCAATACCCTTATCCACACACTCTGTTTCTCTGGTTTTCACTGACATTGTCAGCAGTGTCAACTTAACGTCTTTTTGCAATACAACATCTCTGGTTTTCACAAATTGTTACTACATGTATTTATAGAGCACGTATGACTGGAATTTCACAAATAGGTCAAGTTAGGACAACATTTCAAAAAACCAGCATCATATATATTGATCTAGCTAACAGATACTTTAACACGATACTGATGATAAACTATTTACTGCAGGGTAATTGTACTCTTGATTTATCAGAATGCTCGCTAGCGCATGTGCACACGAGCCCAAAAATACTGATGTGGTCTGGTTTGATGTGTTTTCCAGCATTCTATACAATATTCTGTTTCGATCGATTGACAAAACTGCAGATATCAAATAAAAACGTATACATCGCTAACAATTGTTTCATGAACCGACATCAAACCGGTCACACCCGGAAACATCTAACACGAACAAGTTCATTTGACTTTGCTAACATTAACGCGAAATTATAAAAAATGTAATCGATAAAAAGCAAAGAGTTATTGGACCATATTCTATTTTCAAGAATTCGTGTGACTATATCGTAGTAAATTAATTTGATACTTTTTTGCTATAATATTATATATATATTATTATAATTTATTTCAATATGATAGTTTTATACGGACTTGAATTCATCCCAATTACGTTTAATTACCCCATGTAGAATCATATTAATACCATCAAGGTCTAGTACCTGTTTACGTTATAATACAGCATCTAACATTTTGACCATATGTATGTGAGTACAATTTATTTCTATGAGGGTCATTGTAACAATGTGACCTTCGCTAGTGCGAAGAACTCACAGGGTCACCATAACAGCTTTTGTGGCCAAAATTCAGCTGCTTAAAAATGATCAGCGGAGCATTTGTTACAAATAGCGTTTTTCTAATATGTAGGGTTCAACAAACTTATACCAACAATATACTATATTTCGTTATGACGACGCTAAAAAAACCACCTCAATAATCAAATAAAATATATTGTAGGATTTTTAAGCTTATTATCACATGAATCAACTTTCGGAAGGTTTTGATATCAACTACTCAAATATGATGTAAATATCCTCTACATGGTTCGTTAATCACCTTCAAAGATGAATTATTTGGCATAAAATTGGAATTATTATAATTTGAAACAAAATATATGGTCATCATTATTGCATTTAGTGTCAGGTAAAACAAATCATGTCTTTATAGCGATATTTAAAAAATATATAATTATTTCAAATACTGATTATAATAATAGAACTTGTAAAATCTTTTGTTTTTCGTGACTTATCTAAACTATCATAACTGTGTTGGATGAAGGGAGGTAACTGCTGAAAATTTAAAAATCCATTTTTTTATGTAAAAGTATACCTTGAAGGACACCATAAATAAAAGCATGTAAATCTAATATAGGATGTACGTGTCAGAGTGATAAACATTGAAACGCTTCACTAGCTTTATTCTAAACAATCTCCTTTTTGATTAATCGGTAGAAACCATAAGATCCATATTCAATCCCTATCAGCGACACTTACAAAAGAGTTTTGTTGATAAAGAAATCAAATGATTGAACATGATCTGATCATAAGACTCCCTGTTGATAAATTACACTATGTGTGTAAACATATAATAGTTTATAGGCATTGCTTATCCTATAGCATTGTGAATATATCGACTACGAATATAGCTTAAAAACTAAAACATTGAATAGAAAAGGACGAAGTGTACAGCAGCTTCAATACACAAGTAAAATATGTACTTTAGTCTAAATACACCAGGAAAGAATATACTTCAGCATCAATAAAAAAATGAAAAAAATCCACAGCATCAACACACAGTGACAAAACATACCACCAGCGTCAATCAAAAAGGACAATGCATGCCACAGCGCCAATAAACAATCATAAAATACGCAAATGTACCGTAGTGTTAACACACAAAGACAAAATTTAACAGAACGTCAACTTGCAAGGACAACATCGATCGTAAAAGGTCAAAGGATAAGATACGAAGTCAATATTAGTTCTTCGTTAAAATTTAAAGTCAACAATGACAAGTAAATATGCACATTTATATTGGAACATAAAATATTTAAAACATACATAAGGTTTGAAAATATAATAATTGCACATAAAGGATATAAATTTATAAAGCAAATATCTGTAATAATTATTTTTGTCAGCACTACGGAAGGGAGGTTACTCTGATGATCTTAAAACAAAATTCATTTACCAGGCATTTAAAAAAAATGAGTATGCCGTTTTATTCTGCTCTGCAGGTCATTTAAAAATTCCGTCGGAAAGAAACAAGTAAGCCTGATGTTCAAGTCTGTAGGAAGTATATTGTTGTAACGAATATGCAACATTTCATCGACACATACACTCTGTAAGCAACACAAACTCAAACATCGGTTAAATGAGAGCACGTTGGTTACTTTATATGGATTTTAGTTATTAGATATATGCCACCTGGGCCAGCGGGTCGACAGTCCGTCCAGCTACGTTTTCTTATTGAATACTATATAGTAGCAAACGCAATTCACCTCATAAATATATTGAATAATCCTAGCAAATCGTCCACCGTGAATACCTCATTGCATCTCACTGTTTGATTACCTTATTATTCTGTACGTTGTCCCTATTGGCAATGCCATTGCTGGTGGTGCCTTGATATTGTTAATGAAAGCACGAATGTACTTTTGCTTGCCAACGACCCGAAATGCTTAGGACCACCTCAATTAACTGGAAAATCAATTTCAAATACCCCTGCTGTCGATAACTTTGCTAGGGAATTCGAATGATGGGAAGAAGAACAGGTGAATAACTATTCTTAAATTGATTAAACTGATAAGGCATCTCATATATATTCGAACATCTGTCTTTAGAAAAGTTATGAATATATACACAAAGTCTCAACGTTAAAGTCCCAAACAATTATTACTATAAAACAATTTGGTTATATATATATATATATACCAGTTTCCATGAATCTTTATTATGTGACGTTGTAAATGTTCAAATGAAATATTTAGATATCGTTAGATTTGATATATCTTTGAATGATTTTTGTTTCTGCATATATATTACAAACATGTGTAAGCAATATATTTCCACATTTTTAAGATGTGCTAATTTGAAATAGATATCATTTGATATTTTACCAACACGTGCAATTCTGTAAATCTCCCGATGTTTCATTCAACATATAAGAACTGAACAAATACATGTTTTAAGGATACATATATTTGTGAACATGTGTATGAAAGAGTTTCATCGCTATTGTTGATCTAATCTCGAGCAAGACATAATCAAGAATGGTTAACATCATTAAGGATATGGAATACTCATGAAAACGATCTCTTCATGGCAAAATGAAAATCAGTTTTGTTGTTTGAAGCTATTTCTAGACAATGGCAATGAAATAAAGTTTAAAAAAGTGGTAACATTTTCAAAGATTTCATAGAAGCCTTCAGGACAATACAAACCTCGAGAGACTGTGGTGAATCACTGTAGACTATATGTCGACCTTAGTAATCATAATCATCCCCAGCAACTTTGTTTGAACAGAAACCTTCTCTAAAATGTCTACAGTGCCACAACAAGATAATTAGACAAAGGACTTCTAGAGAGTGGGATCCTACAAGTTATTTTATCATCTGCTGTTCCCGTTTTTTAGTTTCCCGGAAGTTGATATTGTATACGTGGAAGCTAACAGGGCGTACATCCCATACCACGACCCCTTATCTGTTGCACTGTGGCGGTTACAAAACATGGCCTTACTAACCATGTTACACACCTTATTTTATACAGAGATTGTTTTGGTTCACAAAGTTATTATCCTTTTATATAAACCATGCTTCCCCAGAATTTCATTTCAGATTACTCCATTTCTCTGATCAGATCGTAATACGACGATTCCATTAAAAGTACATGGGGATATCAGGAAAACAAACTATCAAAACACTTTTTAATCTTCAGCATATGTATCGTAAATTTTTCGTTTATGGACGCCGTAAATTGGTAATCAAATATACCTACTTTGTTTGGCAAGATGTGACGAGGCCTGTAATGAAGTTAACATGTAGTTAAGTGTCTGCTTTATTATATTAAATAATCTGTTAAGTCCCTGTAAATAACAATAAATGTATCTTCTCTTGGCAATTTCATCTCCCAAAACAG